ACCCGCCACAGGCCCGCAGGCGAGAAAAGCAGACAAGGGGGGTTGAAGAGCTCATCTGCCCCCAACGCCACGGCCACAACGAGGTCAACAGCGTGACAGCCCACACTCCAGCCAAGGACAGGCCGCTGCCGCTGGCCGACAAAGGGACTCGGGGTCTCAGCCCGCACATCCCTGCCCTGAACCCTGCGGGGTGTGGGTCCACCCCTCCCGCATCTCGGCAACGAGCCGTGAAGGGTGGGGGCCGCCCACTGCGCAGCTTCCTCCTGGGCCAACACAACACAGGCCGCCCGCCCCGGCCCTCGGCGGCTGCCCCTGGCAGCCCCTGGGTGCCTGTCATCCCCCCTGAAACGTCCACGGCAGTGACAATCACTGAACAACAGGTAGAGTTGCTTTCCCCCCTGGATTTCAGAAACTGAATAGCCCCTGCTGGTGTGGCTCAGTGGACTGGGCGCCAGCCTGCGAATTGAAGGGTCGCCGGTTCGATCCCCAGTCAGGCCACAGGCCTGGGCCACAGGCCTGGGTCACAGGCCAGGTCCCCAGCTGGGGGCGCAGGAGAGGCAGCCACCCATGGATGTTTCTCTCTTTCTCCCTCCCTTCCCCTCTCTCTAGAAAAATTAGTAATATCTTTTAAAAAATTTGATAGCTGAGATTAATCCACTCTGTTGGCACAGGGCCCAGGGCCTGGGCATGGGAGGCTTTGACAAGCCTCGCGAGCCGAGTGCCGTGTCTCCTCATCACTTCCTCCCTGCAGTCCCTCGGCACAGGCAAACCGCAGGGTGACATCACTTTCCTGCTTTCTCAAGAAATAGATCATCAAGACCACAGCGCTCACCCGGGAACAACCCGCTCGTCCCAGTTCCTGCCCTTTGAGCTGAGCTGACGGGAGAGGTCTGGGCACCCGCTCCGTCCCCGCTGCCTCCACCGGAGCTGCAGCCTGGGCCCCGGGGCATGGCCCTCCTCTGGCAGCCAGCCAGCGAGCGGGCGGGGCGCTTCCTGAGCGCGGGGCTGCCGCAGACCCCAGCGAAGCAGCACAGTGTCAGGCACGCAGCTTCAGAGCCAGGCGTGGGCCCTCAGCCCCAGGCATGGGCCTTGGGGACTGTCCTCCCTCCTTTGCGGCCCCCCCGCCCCCGGCTTGGACCCCTGGCCCTGGGCCTGCTGTCCAGTGCTCCTGGGTGCCGGTGACTGCCTGCAGCCCCGGAACATGGGCCCTGGAGGTTGGGAGCTCGGGAGGCTGGGCTGTGAGTTCCTGGGGGGAGGGGCGCCCTAGACTGCTCTGTGCTTCTGGGTGTGTTTAGAATATTCCATAGTTGAATTGCTTTTCTATACTCAAACGAAATATGGGTTCTCCGTGGTCAGAGACTCTGTGAGCCCCACACCCGCATACCCCTGCTGGGCCCGAGCTCCGTGGAAGAGAAGGCAGCGCCTCCCTGTAACGCCTGCGACCAGCCCCTCTCCCCGGGACGCGGCTGTGGACGCGGAGCGGCCCCCGGGCGCCGGAGCTGCACCGTCTCCTGCAGAATGGCCAACGCCTGCTCCTTCTCTTCCAGCAGCTGCTGCAGCCCTGGGTCCGGGAGCCCCCAAGGCCCAGCAGCTGGGTCTTGACTGAAGAGCAAGTACCTGGCCACGAGCCGGTCGGGGCCGCAAAGGGAGGCTGGGCTGCGGTGACAGAGGGTTCGAGAGACAGGGCCCACCCTCTGTGCACACCGCGCCTGCAAAGGGCCTTCACCCCAGAGAGCACGGTGGGGGGGCTCGGGCCTGCGGGGCAGGTCCCGCCTCCGAGAGGAGCAGGCCTGCGGCAGCACCGGGGGCAGGTGGGGGGTGTGCAGAGCCCACACACCCGGGCCACCCGCCTGCGGCCCCCGTGCAGTGCTGCCTGGAGGCCTCCCAAAGCTGCCGGCCCCCGGGCCCTGTGCCCCTGAGCACGCCCCCTCCCTTGCGGCCCCTACAGGAGGCCATGTCCCGCGCCCCAGTGGGGGTGGGGTGGACTCAGGCCCCACCCGCAGCCCAACCAGCGTCCTGCAGAGATTTCAGAGGCAGGACCTGAGAGTCTGCCCCGCAGGGCTCCCACCGGACCCATCACAGAGGGGAGGGGTGCGGAGAGGGGGCGGGGCCTGTGCTGGGCTGGGAACAGCGGGTTTTCTCTGTCCCAGACAGGCGGGCGGGGGGGGGGGGGGGGACCGGGGGCTTCATCACCACCTATTTCCTGGTTTCACTGTCTCGTTGGCCCATCATGAGACCACGTCCCCACGTGACAGACAGTGGCTTCAAAGGCGGCACCTACAGCCACACCAGCCGTGCAGCTGCGCTGGGTGGGCCCTTGGGGACAGCGCCTGCCACCACCCTTTCCCTCCGCGTGCCCAGGATCGGCTCGACGGCCCCAGGCATGCTGGCCACCGGCGTTCGGCTGTCGGCCTCTGAGACACAGACACGCAGCTTGCAAACGACTTTCCTGAGGAGGAAGCGGAGGTGGGGGTGCACCCCGCAGAGCTGTGGGGCCTGGCCACCCTCGGCGGCCCTGCCCCGGCGGCGGAGGCCCGGGGGCCCTCCCACCGGGGCGCGGAGTCCTGCGGGCCCGTGCGGTCCGGCCTGGTGTTCCCGGCCTGGGCTACCATGTCCCTGATACGTGTCCCGGGGACACTGCCCGGCAGAAGGCGCCTTCCTGCCTGGGTAACCGCGCTCTGAGGGGGTCCTGCTGGCTCGCTGCCCCCCCCGCCCCCAAATCGGACCTCTCGCCCCAGCTATGCCTGCCGGCAGCCGCCGCCTCCCCTCAGAGCCCTCAGCCCCGAGGTGCCCTGGGCCCCAGGCTGGGAGCGGGGTCCTCCGCGTGGTCGCCCGGTGGCTGCGAGCGTTCTCCCCACCCAGCTGCGACCCTTCGGTTCTCACAAGGGCGCGGGACTCTGCTCCCTGCTCCCTGCTCCCTGCTGCGGCCCGTCCCAGCCGCAGGCCGCCCACGTCTCTGCTCTGCCAGTGGCCCGGGAGCCCCGGCTCGCCCTCGACGGCACCCTTCCCGCCGGCGCAGCCCCTCCCCTGCCTTCCCTCCGGGCTCTCAGCCCCTGGAGGCCGGGGTTCCCACCCCCGGGGTTGCTGTCGAGTGAGCGGGAGGCGCCGTCCGCCCGGGCTGGGCAGGTCTCAGTGAGCGGTGCTGCCCTCTCGGCGGGGAACCCCCAGGAGCCCCAGGCTGCTGGTGAGATTCCCACGCACAGGAGCAGGGATGGGCACTGACAGGGCGTCAGGGAAACCCAGCAGCCTGGGCGCCCAGGAAGGTGGGGGCAGCCCAGCCAGAGCGGCCTCAGAGGACTGGGCCCCCCACAGGGAGAGGCGGGGAGGCCGGGAGCCTGCCTGCTGAGGACGCTCCGGCTGCTGAGCGTCTGGTCCGTGTTGAAGGTGGGCACGTAGTTGTGCAGGTCCAACGGCCGGGGAGGGCGGCGCAGAAATGCTTTACAATCTCCTCCAGCAACACTGGGGGTGGGGTGAGGGTGCGCAAGGTGAGCCTGGTGCACCCGGCCAGGAACCTCTATTGTCTTCTATCATAGTCTCCATGGCCCCGAGGCGGGCCAGCACAGAGAACGGAGTGGGGGAGGGGCAACCGCCGCGGCCAGGGTGTGCGTGCCCCAGGGGCCGGGTTGTGGGAGGCGGGCTGGGGTCAGAGGTGCTGGAGGGAACCCCGAGTCTGCGCCGCCAGCCCCAGACAATGCCGGCGGAGGGGAGCTGTGGAGTGACGGTGCTGAAGGCACAGCGCGGCCTGCCCCGCTGCCACCCCCTCCTCCCGACCTCGGCGCCCCTACATTGCCTCTCCCTCTTTCTCGCGTCCTGCGCATCCCTCCCGGGGCGCCCCTCACGCCCTGCTCTGGGGCTCTCAGCACTTTGCTGGGAGCCTGGGAAGCTGGGACACTTCGAGACACCGGCCCTTGCCCAGCCGTCGCGTCCAGCCGGCCAGGTCCCTCTCCCTCGCCGCCCTCGCTCAAGTCCTGGGCCAGGTGGCGCCTGGGGCGGCTGAGCGGGGCGGCTGAGCGGGAGCGCGTCCCCAGGCGTGGAGGCCGCCGCGGCGGGGCCAGGGCGCAAGGTTCTGCGGCGCCCAGGCTGGCGCAGAACTGAGTGCTGGGGCCGTTGCCGGGAGACGGCGCCGGACGGGCTGGTGTTTCGCAGGTGCGGGTGGAGTTCCACCTGCAGCTGGGGCTGGGGCTGGGGCTGGGGCTGGGGCTGGGGCCCCACCGGTGCTCCTGGGGCGGGGCACCGGTCTGCTCGACTTAGGGGGTTTATGATGAAGTCGGAGAGCGAAGTACGTGTAAAGTGGCCGCCCTCGTACAGGGCACGTTTTATTTTAACAAGCATTAGACGCTTAAATCTTACAAACTGATTTCCACCTGTAGGACTTGTGCCAAACTCCATCCATCTAATAAAAATTTCCCGTCATTGAGAAGTCGATCAATAATTTAATAGTAAAAACCGGCTTTTTCTTCTTAAATATCAAGGAAACAAGAAAATAAGCTCCGGAGAGGTAGGGGCTTGCAGCCTGAGAGCGCTAACCTGCGGGCCGGCCGGCGGCCGGGCTGGGGGCGGGGGGGGCGGGTCTTCCTGAATGCGCGCGCACAAGGACGCACACGCCGGCCGCCCGCCTGCAGGGGCCGGGGGCAGCGGGCAGCGAGGGGTCCGCAGCGAGGCGCGGCAGGCCTGCAGGAGCCTCCCCCGCGCTGGGGGAGGCCATGGCCGTCGGGAGACGCGTGCACAGGCCATGGCGCTGACCCCTGCGCGTCGGCCCCTCTAAGTGTGGCCGACAAGGCGGGCGGTCAGGGACCGCAGAGCAGCCCCGACCCAGAGGCCCCGGGCGTGACCCCGGGGTGCTGCAGCGCGACCCTGGTTCGAGGAGGTGGCTCTTCTGCCGGGACTTCCCACAGTGGGCGGAGCCCGGACGGGCACGAAGGGCGTGGCACAGGGCTCTTGGAACAGGAACAATTGCACACAGATGCGAGAATGCGCCCAAGGCGCTGCGAGCTCGGCTGTCACCGCCTCTGGACAGGGGGCTTCAGAGCAACCTTTGGGCCAACAGCTCCCTTGGAGGAAGAAAAAAGAAACAAATACTGCTGAATGTTACTTCCTGTTACACTTCCAAACACTCAGAGTCTCAATCCCTCCGACGATAGGGCGGCCCGTGCACACGGCGGTAACAGCGGCAGCCCCAGCCCAGCTAACGTCGCGTGAAGGGCCGACTTCCGCCCTTGGTCGAGCAGGTGAAGACAAACTAACAGCCGGCCACCCCCCGAAAGCCGTCGGGCAGAGCACAGAGCGGGGCTTACAATCACCTGCAGCCACGCTCCTGTCCCCAGGCAGCGCCATCCCGGCCGCTGCCCGTGGGCACGGCCCTGGGGGAGGGGCTCGCTCACCTCAGTGGCTCCAGCGTTGGCCCCTTGAGCCCTGGGCTTGACCGGTGGCTTGGGGGGCACGCAGGTCGGCCTGACCACCTGGGAGGAAGCAGACACAGCGCCGGTGGGCGCCCCGCGTCCCGGCTCCGGCAGAGCTCCGTCCGGCCGAGGGCTTGCCCTGCCACAGGCTGCGGGCTGCTCTGTGGAGCTCTCCACGGAAAAGCCCCCCATCCTCCCTCCCCCGTGGCCGCCTGCAGAATGAAACCCACGCGGCCCCGCCACGCTACCCTCTCCCCGAGGCCCCGCACCACCTCAGCTTTACCGACAAAAAGCTTTTAAACTGCCAGGACATGGGTCCTGGAAATTCAAAACCAAGGGTTAACGAGACTCAGGACGGAGGTGGAAGGTTGACCCGGCCTGGCCTGGTCCCGCTCAGCCCTGCCCTGGCGCACGCTGTGGTGCCCCAGGCGCCTGGGTGGGGCCCGGGGTGCCCGGAAGGGCCCTGCTGGGGGCCGGTCCCTCGCCGCCTCTGCCTGGCTGCCTCCACCTCCTTTGGGCCAGAAAGTTCTCTGCCCGCCTGGCCCCCAACTGGCCTGTCAAAACCCCCTTTTAGACCATTTCTTGCAACTTTCAGTAAGTCAAAAGTCAGTGCTAAAAGAAGTTGAGGAGGAAAGCAGCAGAGGATGCCCTTCGAGCGAGGACCACAGCGAAGGTCGCAGCAGGGGGCCGATGTGGACCCGGTGGAAAAGGAGGGGGCGCACCTCGGAGCACCTCCGAGGCCGCAGGGAGAAACCCGCGGGCATCGCATCAGCGGTGACCGAGACCGGCGGGCAGGCGTCAGGAGCCCGCGGGGGGCCCGGGGGCAGAGCCTGCCCCGAGGGGCGACGGGGGGCGGGAGCGGGGCCCTGTTCTCCCCGCCTGCGGGAGTGGCCTGGGTTCAGGGCTGCAGTGGGCAGTGAGCAGGCCCAGGAGGAGGAGCCCACCAGGACCGACCCCGTGTTCCGCAGAAGGGACTCCGGGTGGCCCCGAAGGTGGCCGGGCCGGCAGGGGAGCACCCCACCCAGCCTGCGGGGTCTGGGTTGCAGGGGAAGCCCGGGGTCTGGCCTGAGGGAAGGGCACGGGCACAGCCAAGGGGTCTCCTGCGTGGCCAGGTCCTCTCACCTGCGTGGGCTTCAGCTCTGGGAGAGGCTTGGTGGGAGGAGCAGGTCGGAGCTGGAGGGAGGGGCACAGTCAGGAGCCGAGGCCCAGGGCGTGCGTCCTCCCCGGGCCTGCGATCGGCCGTCCGGGAGCGCGGTGGCTGCACCCCGAGGTCCCCAGCCCACCCAGTCTGGCGCCTGGGCCTTCCACCTCCCGGGACCCGACTTTTGCCCCGGAGGCTGCCTGGACCAGGCCGCAGCGCAGCTCACCTGTGCTGGGGGTCGCTGGGTGTACACGGGGACTGGGAAGGGCGGGTGGGACGTGGGGGCCGGAGGCTGCAGGGAGCGGGGTCGTGAGCCTGGACCACACCGGGCAGTGTCTCCAGGGGCGCCCCCCACACCCCCAGCTCGGGACCCCATGTCCCTGCCCCTCCCAGAGGGAGGACAAAGCTCGCCCCCCCAGCAGGGCCCCAGCCGGGCCACGCCCCCCACGCCCCCTTCCCTCGGCCGTGGGGACAGTCTGGGGTGTGGCCTGGACCTCAGAACTGTCCTCGGTCCCTGCCGAGGCCTCGAGCCTCAGACGCAGGTTCAGCCCCCAGCCCCGTCCCCGTGCACGGGGGCCCTCAGGCTCCCTCCTGCCCCGAACGGCCCCATGGCCGGGGGAGCGGCCGGTGCTTACGGGAGGCGGTGGCCGCTTCGAGGTCACCGCGGAAGCCGTGGGCCTGGGGGGCTGGCCGGGGCCGGTGTGCGTGGCGGCGACCGGCCCGGGGGGGCCCACGGTGGGAGCCGCAGCCCCGCCCTCCGCGGGCCGGCTGCCCTCCTCGGGGAACAGGGGGTTGGACCGCCCCAGGCTGGTCTTGGGCGCCACGTGCCTGCTGGGAAAGCCAGATGAGTCAGGCCTCTGGGCCTCAGGGTCCACCCAGGACTTTGGGGGCCCCCGAGTATGGGGTCCCCTGGCTTGGCCGGGGCACCCCAAAGCTGCAGTGCCTGCCAGCCCGCACACGGCATGCCCGTCACGCCATCCGAAAAGAGCAGCCTCGAGCGCACTGGGCAGTGCTGGCACGGGGTCGGGGCTCTCCCAGGGGCGCCGGCCGGGGGCGGGGGCGGTCACCCCGAGAGAGCTGAGGCCCACCGGGGCTCCCGCGGCGCCGCCTGGTCCGCGAAGCCCCGCGCCACCCGGCGAGAAGCCCGCTGCGGGCCCTCTTCCTCCTCCGGCGGCGCTGGGGCCGTTGCCCAACAGGGCGAGGAGGGGACGTGCCTCTTGCAGACACGGACGTTGTGCAACGCGTCCGCTCACCTCCGTCGCACGCGGCCCCCGGCCTTGCGGCGCACGGCCACAGCGGCCAGGGCGAGGCCCAGGGCCACCAGGAGCAGCACAGGCAGCAGCACGGCCAGCAGGAGGCTCCGGGACGCTGCGGGCACACGAGGCCGGGCGTCAGGCGGGCGCACCCCTCGCAGCGCCGTGCCCACCTGCGGGCCCTTCTGCGGGGACGGGGGGTCGGAGGTCCTGGGGCAGCAGGTCCAAATCTTTACGGGAACGATTCCCAGCGGCCTGGGCGCCCAGGGCCCCCTTCCCACCCCCGAGCCGGTGGCCCCCACGGTCCCGTCGTGGGACCCACCTGGCCGGGGGAGGGAGGGAGGCCCGGGGCGCCGGCCCTACCTGTGCGCACTTCTGCCAGCAGCTCCGAACAGTGCGGTGGGGCCCAGCCCGGGAGGCAGTGGCACTTCCCCTTGTGGTTGCACACCTGGGGGCAGCGGGCGTCAGGGGGCGCCCTGGGGACCCCGCCCGGGCCTGCGCGGGGCTCGGCCAGGGCCCCTGCCGACGGGCGGGCTCCTGCGTCCAGGGCCCCAGGGCTGCCACACAGGCCGGCGGCAGCCCCTCGCCCGGACCGGACGGCAGAGGGCTCTCTAAGCAGAGCAAGCGGGTGAGGGCGCGCGCTCTCAGGCGAGCGGAGCCCCAGCCCCTGGTTTCAAGCTCCCGGCGCCTCCCTCCGCCCTCCACGTCACAGACGCGTCACCAAGAACGGAGCCCTCCCTCCCCTCTCAGGACAGAGCAGCCCCCGCCCCCGTGTCCACAGGCACCACGGTGGCCGGGGCCTCGGGGCGCCCCTGGGGCCCACAGACGCCCGCCCGCTCCAGGCCCCCGCCCTCTGTACCCCGGGGCCCGGCCTGAGCAAGGCCCGCAAGCGCCCTTCACCCAAGGCCCGCATACCCCGTGGCCGCTGCACTGGGCGGAGCAGTTCTCAGATCGGTACACGTGGAGGCCCTGGCACTGCCCTCTCCAGCAAACCTGGGGGGCAGGGGCCTCATCAGGCACGGCCCCAACCCCGTCCCCCGCTGCCCCCAGCGCCGAAGCCGACGCGACACCTGCAGTGAGTGTTGGGGGCACCCGTGGCCGCCACAGCCAGGGCGGCCGTGTCGGCAGGTCCCACCCGTCCCGTCCCCAGGGGCGACCGGCCAGCGGGAAGGTCTTCGCGCCACGTTGGCCGAGAACGGGCCTTCCCGGCACCTCCGCACGCGCCGCCCGAGCTTCCGCGGAGGACAGCAGTCCGTCCGCCCGGCCCCCGCCACCCACGCCCTGCCTCAGACCCTGGGAGCCCACGGGCGGGACGCGCGGCCCCGGGCGCACGTCCGGGCTCGGGCCTGGTCACTCACCCTCCCGTCGCCGCACTGGGTGCCCTCGAGCACACGCTCGTACCCGGAGCCGCCGTCCAGGAAAAGGGCCTGACAAGCTCCTGAGATGGTGCAGTAGCTCCGCCCCGAAGGCACCTGCCCACCCTCACAGAACAGGACGTCGCACGGGGCCCTGTGGACAGAGGGCCTCGCTGTGGGGCCCGCTCGGCTGGGCCGCCCACCCCGCGCACGCCGGCGCGGGGGGCACCACGGGCGCTGCCGGGACACGGGGCCCGGGCCCTGGACGGGCCGTGGGGCCTACTGAGGGGGCATCCACACCCCCGCGCCAGTGGCCCACCCTCCCCGCCGTGAGGGCCTGGGGTCCGGGAGGCAGGGTGGGCCCCTGCTCCTCGGTGCAGAGGACTCCCGGGGGCGGCCCAGCGACGGGGGCGGCCCAGGAGCCAGGCGGCCCAGGGCTGGCCGGACGCTCACCTCTGGGCCCTGTGGAGGGCGGTGCCGCCGTTGCAGTCGGGCAGGAGGCTGTAGGCGTAGCACCTCTCCGCCGCGGTCCTGCTGCCTGCAGGCCAGCAGCAGGTCAGTCCTCGGCCCGGGGCTGGAGGCCGTCCTCGGGCCCACGGGCCGCTGGCCGCCCGCCTTACCTGGCCCCCACAGGTCCCGGCACCGCTGGGCCCGCGTGGGGCAGGCCCCATTGTAGCAGTAGCCGCCCCCGCAGGGCGTGCCGTTCTCCTGGAAGGCGTCCTCCGGGCAGGCCGGCTGGCGGCCGTCGCAGCGCTCCTCCAGGTCACAGGCGTCCTTCGGGGGGCGGCACAGCTGGCCCGCAGGCCGCACCTGGCCCACAGAGCGAAGTTCAGCGCGGGAACGGCCGGCTCCAAGCAGACGCGCGCCTGCGGCCGGTCTCCGCCGCCCCGGGGCCCTGCCGGCCGGCCAACGGGGGCGCGGCTGGGCTAGGGCGGGCGGGGTCCGGGCTCACCTTGCACTCGTGGCAGCAGGCGCCGTGGGCGCACTCGGCCCCCTCGGCCAGCCGGCAGGTGGTGGCGTTGCAGCAGCGGTTCTGACAGTCCTGGGGGCCGGGGCGCTGCTGAGGGTCTGGGTGGCCCGGGTCCCCCCGAGACCCGCCCTCGCTTGGGCTGGGGCTTTCCCAGGGGTTCCCCCCGGGTCGCTGTGGGTGTCAGAGGGCAAGGGTGTGTACCCGCCGTGGCCGTGGACACGCAGGGCGCCCGGTGGGCCCGCAGCGGACGTCCCGACCGGCGGCGCAGAGGGGGCGGCGCTGGGCCTACCTGGGGCTGGCCGCAGTCACATTGCTCCCCACGCTCCACAAACCCGTTCCCGCACTTGGGGCCGCCCACCAGGCGGTCGAGGTCCGGCGCGTTGGCCAGGCAGGTTGTTGGGAGCTTTTCCACGAACATCTGCAGGTCGGCCCGGCTGCAGTGGCTGAACATTTGGGGATACGGGGACCTGAGGGGAGAGGGGTCTTCAGGGGGCAGGCCGGCCGCACCCCAGGACGCCCGCGCCGCACGCGCCCGCCGTCCGGCGGAACCGGGCCTGCCCGCACCTGATGCTGGCCGCCATGACGCACTGGCGAGACGGGGCCGCGGGGCAGTAGCAGCCCTGGACGTTGTCGTCGTGGTTCATGCCCAGGTTGTGGCCCATCTCGTGGGCCATGGTGCACGCCACGCCGACGGAGTCCCCGCTGTGGTCCTGCAGGGCGAGGCGGTCCTGACGGGCGCCGCCCACTCGGCCCGAGCAAGGCCGGCGCCCCTTCCCGCCGACACTCCGCGAAGCACAGAGCGCCTTCCCGGAGAGGCGGCCGACCGGCTGCTGAGGGGCGCAGCCTGGGGACCGGCGGGCGGACCGGAGTCCCGAGGTCCCCGCCCCCCGCCCTCGCATGCGTCCCACCTCCAGCTCGGGCTGGTCCGGCCCGGGCCAGCCCTCCGCACCTGGTTCACAGCCCCTGAGTGCCGGGAGCACATGGTGGACACCTTGGCCAGCCCCACGGTCTGGCCGCTGAAGTCGACCCCACTGGGAACGAGAGCAGTGTCTGTGGTGGTTGCCCCCAAGATGGCCACGCCCCCGTGCCCCCCCCCACCCCTCCCACCCCGTCCCCAGCCCTTCCTGCTGCCACCGCCCCGCGCCACTCACGTGAGGAGCTGTGCGTTGTCGTGGGCGTGCCGGCCGACCAGGTGCTTCGTCCGCCAGGCCAGGAAGTTCTCCAGCGTGAGACTGGGGTTGGAGCTGACCACAATCTTGTCCCCGCCGTCCCAGATGTCCAGGCCCACGAGGACCACACGGAACCCGAGCTCCTGGTACAGCTGCAGGAAGATGGGGCCACGGGTCAGGCTCCCGAGCAGCGAGGCCAGGCGCCCGCCTGGAGAGGCAGGGCCCGGGCGGGGGAGGCGTGTCCGCTGACAGCGGGCCTGGCTGAGCGGCCGCCGCGCCGCTGGTGGCTCCGCGGCCCGTGCCCCCCGCCCCCGCCCCTCAACAACCGAGCTTCTCTCAGGCTGGGGGACTCCTGCTCCCGCAGGGACCTGTGTTGCTGGGAGTCCTGGAAGCCCCTGCTGGGGGCTCCCCCAGGGCGAAACGGCCCCCACCTTGTCCACGTGGTTCACCACTTCCAGCACCCGACTGCGCACAGCGTCTCTGCTCTTCAGCCGCTGGAACTGGAGGAGAGCAGCCGCTCAGCCAGACGCCCACGGGTGGCGCCCCACCCGCCCGCCCACCCGCCAGCCCTCAAGGAGCACCTCTGCGTAGTCTGCAACCACATACAGCTCCACGTAGCGGGGCTCTTGGGACCGCGGCCAGTTCTGTGCGATGGCAAGAAGCAGCCGGTCAGCGGCCCCAGCCACGGCCCTCCCGATCTTAGCCCGGTCTCCACACCGGCCACCTCTGGGGACCCCTCTCGCTCAGGGTCGGCGGCCTGTTCGCCAGTGCCAGCCGCCTGCGCGGCTGCTGGACAGAGCCAGGCCCACAGACCACAGGGCCGGCGGGCAGCACCTGCCCTCCGCTGTGGGCACCGGGAGCCGGGGGGCGCGCGGCCGCCAGGACAGGGGAGCGCGGGGCGGGGCCCTCACCCGGGGCCGGAAGGCTGCCGAGGTCCGCAGGCCCAGGAGGCTGTCCAGGCTGGCGTTGCTGACCCCGCAGGTCCCGGCCTCCGGCCGCAGGTGCTGGGCCTCATAGAGCGCGTGCGGCCCCTCCTCCCCGCCTCCATGCAGAGGCTCGATCAGCCGGACGGCGGAGCCCACCTGGAAGAAGCCCCTGTGGGCAGCGGGGCAGGGGGTCAGAGTCAACGCCCTGCCCCGTGCAAGCTGCCCAGGGAGGGGCGGGAGGCCTGGGAGGACAGGAGGCCCCTACTCTGCTCGGGGACGTGCTGGGGACAGTGTCCAGGGCCCTTGGGAGCCTCGTGCGTCAGGAGCCTGTGACTTGTAAGAGGAGCCTGGACACCCAGGCGCGGGTCTGGCCCTGCCCCCGGCACAGGTCGCTTCTCTGGCGGGCGGGGCCGTGCCGAGTGCCCCTCTCACCTGAGGCCGTCACAGGTGCTGAGGCTGGCGGCAGAGAGTGGGTGCCCCTCCACGTGGCCCTGGTAGAAGCAGTGGTCCTGCGGAGGGTGCGCGTGAGGGCCCTGTGGGCCTTGCTCCCGGGGCCCCACCTCCACCGTGGGAGGGCCACCCGGGCGTACCTGCCCCTGCAGCGGCTCGGTCACCTGGGAGCCGTTGGCAGCCGAGTAGGTCTCTGTGTACCGCGAGGCCAGCAGGTCCCTAGGAAAGAGCCGCCGTGGGGCCTGGGCCCGCCTGCCACCCCCCAGAGGAGGCCCCAGGAGCCGGGCGCCCGGGACACGGTGCTGGGGGCGGCCCCAGGCCCTGCTCACCTGTTCTTCCGCAGGTGCAGGGTGAAGTTCTGTCCTCGGGCCCCGATCACGTAGCTCACACTCTCCGGGTACAGGCTCTGAGCCAGTAGAGCAAAAGGGGTCCGGAGTCAAGGGCCCACCCCAGGCCTCCACCTGAAAGCCATTCAGGGGACCCTGGGGGGTGCCCGGCATCAGGCTGGCGAGGGCAGCAGGGGTCCCAGGCAGGCCTCAGGCCTCAGCTTCCCCACCTGTCCACACGAGGACGAGGACCAGGGCGCCTCTTCCCCAGGACGTGAGGGGACAGGGTGGTAGCCCACCAGGCAGCACAGGACGGGGGTGGGGAGCCCCCCCCCCAGGCGTCCTGCCCCCAAGAGGGCCGGCCCTCCCCTGCCCCTCACCAGGGACAGTGCGCACCTCGCCCTCCCAGTGGGGTGAGGGTCGGGGGTCAGGGGCTCGGGGCTCTTCCTGGACAAGGAGGCCGGGACGGGGCTCCCCCACACATGGCAGGCACAGCCTCCCTCTCTCTCTCTCTCTCTCTCACACACACACACACACACACCCTGCTCCAGGAGTGACCCCGCAGCTCCGGGAAATCCCAGCCCAACCCCAAAAGCCCCGGAAAGGTGCGTCTCTACCCCTGGCAGCCAGGGACCCGCCCGCCCTCCAGCCCAAGGAGGAACTCGGCTTCTCACGCCAAGTGAAACTGGGGAGTGGCCCGGGCCGGGGCGGGGCCTGGGCCCGCGGGGCTCAGGCAGCCACAGGGCGAGGCAGAGGCAGGAGAGCCAGGGCCTGGGGGGAGGCCGGGCCAAGCAGAGCGCGCCCCGTGGGCAGGGGCCCCTCAGGCGTCGGCCCCCAATTGGCCCAGAAGCCCACCTGGCGCTCGGGCCCGAGGGTGACCCCTTGCGCCCGGCCGGGCCACCCAGGAGCTACAACCCTTTAACAGCAGGGCTCTGCGGGGTCAGGGAGGGACTCCCCCACGCGGCTCCCAGGCCCCTTTCCCGCCAAGACTCACCGAGCCGGACGGCAGAGCTCGGCGGACCCGGGGTCCTGGCAGGCGCTGGGGCCGCACCTCCTCGTACTGCGCCACGTGGGGCAGGGGTCCGCGGCGGGCGGCCGCTGTGGGAGACGGTGGGCATGCAGAGCACCTGCCTCCTGAGCCAGGAGCGACCGCCCCAGGCGGGGCAGCGTGGGGCCTGGCATCGAAAGGACCACGGGCCGCCGCCCCAGGCCCCTGGACCCTCCCAGACGCCCCCACCCCGGTCGGACGGGAGCACACACACAGACCCGGGCGGGAGGCCGGCTGCCCTGCCCTTTCCGTCTCGGTGGCCTGGGGGCCCGGCCCACCCCTCTGGTGCCTGGAAGCTCCCACGTGCCCGATGCAGACGGCCGGGCAGGCCGAGTTTGGGCCCCGAAGGCCAGCTGCCCAGAGACCCTGCCCTCGGCCTTCTAATGTGTCTCTGGAATCAGGGCCTTGTGAACCTCCAGAGGAGGCGGCCCTGGGAGCCCCCGGGCCCTGACTCGGCTGCCTCCAGCCCCAGGCTGGGGCGCCTCAGAACCCCAGCCCAGGAGGCTCTGGGAGCCAGACCCGTCTGGTCAGCCAGCCCCCTGCTGAGCTCCAAGGCCCTGCTCCCCAGCAGCACCCCTGCCGTACTGGGGGTCCCAGCAGGAGTGGGCACTCACCCCAAGACTCGAGGATGACCTGCGCTCCCTCAGCCCCGGCCCCAGCCCCCGCTCCCCCTCAGTTCCCCCCTGAAGGTCAGTCTGTCCACCTCCAGGAGCCCCTGGCTGAGTGACCCCCCGGGACCAGCCCGGAGCACAGCTCGGGCGAGCGAGGTGCCCGCCCTCCCGGGGCAGCCGCCCGCGGTCCTGGCCGGAGCCCGCCCTGCACCCGCCCGGCACTCACCTTGCAGCCACAGTGCTCCGAGCAGCCAGAGCCCGAGGCGGCGCATGGCCCGCGCCGGGGCCGCAACCCGGGGCCCCGGGAGCATGGGTGGGCGTCTGGAACTTGGAGGCTGGGGTTCTGGGGGTTTGGGGTCCCGGGAGGGGGATCTGGGGACGGGAAGGGGGTGGGGCGCGGGTAGGGATCCTGGGTCTGAGGCCCTGGGACACAGATGGAGAAGATCTGGTGGTCGGGGCACGACGGTGGGGAGCCGGGCGTCGGGTCCGAGGGCGCGGACGGGAACCCAGGGACCAGGCGGCGCGCACGGGGCCGGGACCCAGGGTCTGTGCGGGCACCCGGCGGGGCTTCGCGCGCGGCAGGGCGGCCTCTGGCCGGGGCCCTGGGGCCCTGGGTTTTAAGGCTCCTTCCAGGCTGGCCCCGCCCCGGCCCCGCCCTCCCGCACGCCCGGCTGCCGGGGGCGGGGTCTCGGGCACCTGCGGGAGGCGCCCTGCCCTTCCATCCCGCCTGTCCGACCCTGTGGCTCCCGCGGCTGCCCGGTCCCCTGGGGGCCCCGGCCCAGTGCCCGCGGCCCCGCACACAGGCCTTTGCAGGCGTGGACCGGGTTAAGGCAGAGGGAGGGGGGCGAACCCGAGCTGTTCAGGCGAGGCTGGGCCTCGGCAGGGGAAGTGACTTGTGAAAGGCTCTCTGGAGGGAGGGGTGTCAGAAGGGCGAGCACCCTGACTTCCCAGGCCCTGGTCCTGGCCCACTGGCCCCGGAGGCTGCCCCGCTGGGGCACCTGGGGCTCTGGCCTCTTCACCTTCGCAGGGGCCCGAGCGTGGCCCCTCACAGTGGGCTTTTCCGGGGCTGGTCCAGGTGGGTCCGCCCCGGGAACCCAGCCTGCAGCTGAGCCCGGTGGGTGTGCCCCGCACTCTGGACACGCTCCCTGGGATGCTGAGCGACAGGCTGTGGTGTCCGCAGACCAGGAGACACGGTTCAGTGGCCCGTTATTTTGCCCTCGGGGCGCACCTGGCCGGTCCCTGCCCACCAGGGGCAGGTGCTGCCGCTGCCGTGGCAGGCACAGGGAGTTGGGGCCACCGGCTGGGCAGGAGGGCCTTGCCTGGAGCCAGCGGCTCGGTCTCCGCGCCGCACGGCGCCCTGACTGGCAGCCTGGGTGGCAGACGAGCCCGCGCGCTCACAGGGCGCAGCCTGCAGAGGAGGGGGCAGCCCTGGGCTCGCCCGGCCGTGGCTGTGGCCCAGCCTCACACACGCACGCCCTGTGGGTGACCTTGTCTCTGTGCCCGGTGGCCTCTGCGTCTCATTCCTTGTCTGCCATGGGGCGGCCTGCGGCAGGCAGCTTGGATTCCAAAGCGACACACGAGACCCCGCAGAGCACCCGGAGGGGCTCCCTGCAGAGCTGGGGCCGCGTGTCTGTGGGGTGGGGCCGGGGGGCCACACGCCCACCGCAGGCCCGAGGGGACGGAAGGCCCCGCCCCACCCTGCCCCAGGTGAGGAGCTGCTGCCCCCTAGTGCCAGGAGCGCGGCCCGGCCGGCGGCCCAGAGGGGTTCAGCCGACTCCAGGGAGCCCAGCCCCAGTCCTGCCCCCATGAGGCATCTTGGCAACTGTTTAAAAAATATTCTATTTATTTATTTTTTGAGAAAGGGAAGAAGAGGAAGAGAAACACCAGTGTGTGGTTGCCTCCCGCATGCCCCTATTGGGGACCTGGCCCGCACCCCAGGCCTGTGCCCTGACTGGGAACCAAACTGCCACCCTTGGGCTCGGAGGCCGGCGCTCAGTCCACTGAGCCCCCCACCAGCCAGGGCTTGGCAATTACCTTGATGTTGTTCAAATGCATTTTGTCTTTATTTGAAGCCAAAAAAACAACCCCCCGGGTGTGCCCCTGCCCTGCTCGAGTGCGCTCGCAGGTCGCACACGGTGGGCGCACCCTGAGCTGAGTGCAGGCGACACCCAGACTTTATGCTTAAACACAACAGCACACGCGACATGCTTGTTCCGGGAACATCTGATTCAAGACCCGGAACTCATCTAGCGGCACCGCACCCACTGGCCGCGCGTCCCTCTTCCGCCGTGGAGGCTGCGAGGCCCCAGGCCTCACTGCGCGGGGACGGCCACCCTGGGCGCTGGTGCCGGGGGCCCCCGCGGCACAGGCACTTGGGCGGCCACCTTCTGGCTCCTCTCTGCGGACAGGCGCTCCAGGCGCTCCGTGTAGAAGCCGTTGAAGTCGAGCCTGCAGGGTGAGGGCGGGGCTGGGGTTGCTCCTGCAGACGCCTGAGGTGGGGGCCGCCCCCTGCAGCGGCCGCCCAGGCCCCTTCCGCTCCCCACGGGGGAGGGGTGCCGCCAGCTCGCACACAGACACGTGCGGCCGCACTCACACCGGACCAGCCTCACCAGCTCAAGGCACATTGAGATTGGAACAAAAACACGTCGAGACTGAAAGCAAGACAACTGAGGCCTCCAGCCAGACACTCGAGGACCGAGGACCGTCGGCAGCAGAGGGCAGGTCCCCGGCCCAGCCCCCAGAGGCGGGGCTCTCGTCACCCAGCCCTGCCCCGCGGCAGGGGCCCGAGGGCGCCCCGGGCGGAGGGACTCGCCGAAGGCCCACCCTCCCCGGGCCACCCCGGCGCGGCCTCTCAGGAGCCGGGGGTGACACTGCCGCTGGGCGCACGGGTCAGGGGCGGGAGCGGCTCTCCCGGGGCCCTGGGCCCAGGGAGGCCAGCAGGGGCGGGGCCGACCTCAGCCCGAGGACGCGGCCGGACGCCCCCTGGGGCGCGCGCACCCGGGGCCAGGCGCACCTGGAGATGACGCTGGCCATGCCGTGCTCGCAGTCGCTGGTGCTGTAGAGGCTCAGGCGGGCCAGCAGGTCGAGGAGGTGCGCCGAGAAGTTCTTGTCGAACTTGCTGATGGTGGCCTCGAAGCTGGGGGCCAGCGGGGGCGCGTCCGTGGGCTCCGCCAGGTGCTGGAAGACAGGCCCCGCGTGCCCTCACCTCCCTCCTGCGTGTTCGCAGAGCGCGCACTTCGGGACGTTCCGAGGGACGAGGGGCGTGGCTCGGGCATGGGGCGCTCCCACGGCCGCAGGACAGCAGGGCAGCGCGGCACCCGGAGCCGGGCCTCCCCCCCACCCCGGGCTGCTCAGCGTCGGCGGCCTGTGCCCCGCCCTGGCGGCGCCTTCGAGAGGGCAGTGCGGAGACGCAGGACCGGGCGCCAGCTCCCCGACGGGCGGCTGAGGAGGGACTCTCACTGGACGGCCGAGCGCCAGGCCCTCCGGGGAGCCCCCAACTCCGCCCTAACCACCCCCCAGTCTGTGGGTACACCGGCCTCGCCTGGAGCACGGCCGCACTGGAGTTTGCGGGGGTTTTTAGCGGGGGGAGGGGTGGTTTCTAAGGCTGGCGTGTGGAACCTGATCCTAAGATGGCTGTCTTCCAGTCACGGGGAAGACAGAAATGAAGAGGTGGTAGCGGCTTTAGCTCCAGCGGTCAGGACCCGAACGCTGCCGGGCCCGCAGGGAAGGGGCGGCCACCCACCTTCCGGGCGCGCTCCTCCGCCCGCTCGGCCTCGGCGGGCGGCCGCTGCACGGCGCCGTGCTCCAGGGCCAGGCGGCCCAGATCGCCGTCCAGCTTCACGCTCTGTGTGAACCTCTTGGGGCCAGAAAACGCCGCCTTTATTACAACCGATTTGCTGCCAGCACCAACACCCCATGTGCCCGGGACGCTGGCAGGCTGGGGACCGCGGGCGCGCCCTTGGGAGGCTGCCTGGCTCTGGGCCTCCGGACTTCCGCCGGAAACAGGCGCTGTTCACGGGGTCCGCTTTGCAACCCATGGGGCTCCTGCGTGAGGGGCTGGCTCACGTGCTACGGACGCTCCACTCGGTCATCGGCCGCCACGTCCCGCGCCCCCAGCTCCCCCCCCTGCTCAGACGCCCCCGTGCCCTTGAGCCTGGCCACGCCCCACGCCACTCGTCCTACCCCGGCACGCACACCCTGTTCTACCGCTTGTGCCAAGTGCCCACGGCAGACGGACTCAGCCGGGGCTGCGGCCGCACCTGCATGCAGTTGGTGAACATGACGCACACAGACATGAGCTTGGAGAAGACCTTGAGCAGCTCGGGGTTGGTCAGCATGCAGTCCTTCAGGCAGGTGTCCAGGAAGCTCGTGTGGTGGCCCAGCACGTCGTCGATGTTGGAGGCCTGCGGAGCACGGTCTGAGCACGTGTGTGCCCGGGCCTCAGCACCGGCTTTGCACACTTCTGTTTTGTTTGTTTCTTACACGAACCCATGGTTTTTTGGGGGGAAACTTCAAAATACCACTAACAGGAATACTACTGAACATGCCCCCAAAGTCGAAGGTTTTGATTCCTAAAGGCAGGAAGCAAGAAGGAAGCCCGGCCACTGGCCACCTTCTGCTTCCGGGACCCGGTGAAGGGCGAGGAGCCTTATGGCGGAGAAGCCCCAGGAGGCCCAGGACCTGCCGGCGGGGCGGCCTGCGCGGCTCTCACGCTCCGGTGGAAGCAGGCGCCCCGACCCCAACCCCGAGCCGGCACCCTCCCCCGTGGAGACTCTACGCTGGGGGACACGTCCTGGCAGCTCCAGGGCTGCGGGTCATTAAGTTGGAACTCACAGATTTCAGGTTTTTCTCCAGGATGTGCCAGGTCGGCTCCATGACCTCAAACATCATGTAGTACTGAATGTTCTGAACGAAGTTAAGCATCCGCTGCCGCAGCGTGAAGGCACCGGCAAACCTGGGCGAGCAGGCGTCCAGGGACCCGCTGTGGAGCTGGCCCCTGCACAAGGCCTCCTGCCCCCCGGCCCCCCACGCCTGCAGGGGCACCTGCTCTGAACGGCATGTGTGACACGGTGCCGTGCGACACGGTGCCCGAGGCTCAGACCCAGGCGCAGGCCACGCCGGGGCCAGACCAGCAAGCAGCGCGCCTAGGCTCATGCCGGCGGGTACTGACCCTGGGAGCAGCTCCAGGTCCTCAGAGGGCCCCACCCAGAGAGGCGGCCGCCCGCAAGTTTGTGCGGTGGGGCCAGAGCGGCTGTGCTCATGGACGGCGACAGCCGTGCACACCCTGGGTGTGCGTCCTGGGACCGCTCCCTGCGGGGACACTGAACGTACCACCTGGCGGAATGCAGCGCGTGCTGCTTGGCGGCCTTGTTGCCGATCCAGACGTTGCAGAGCTGCCGCTCCACGTGCTTGCAGTAGAACATGTGTCGGAAGAGCATCTGGTAGCGTGTCAGGGCCTTCCTGCAGAAGGGGAGCACATGAGGGTCCCGCCGATGGCCCGCACAGCGCACGGGGCTCCGCTGGGACCGCGGACGGGCGGTTCGGCCACTGACACACAGTCCTGGGCTGGCCACCGCCACGGGGCGGCCCCCTAGCGCGCGCACGGCGGCAGAACGAGGCAATGGGCGGCGGGTCGGATCCCCCTCCCTGCCCCCCCGCACGCTGTCCCTGAAGCTGGTGTCTGGGCGAAGTGCGCACCTGTTAATGATCAGTGACAAGGGCCACTTGACCACGTAGTCAAAGGAGAAGGCCTCCAGGCCGCTCAGCGAGAGCTCGGTGGGGTCGGCCTGCACCATCGCCTTCTCCTGCTTGGTCTCAATGGCCAGAACCCGCAGAAGCTGCGTGATGAGGTCATGAGGCATCAGGTCGATCTGGGGGAGAAACAGGAGCATCAGCTGCGAGTCCTTCATCGGTGCCTATTGGTTTGGCCATAAGTCCGTTTAAATAAGAGCTTGTTCTGCAAAATGAAAGGCACTTTTTCATTTTCACCAATAGCTTTACTGGCTCAGGAACTGTGAGTACATCTGCTGTCTCCTGCATGGTATGATACTGATTGCTCTCAATTAATGTCTCTGTTTGACTCCTATCAACTTCGACTGGTCCACCCGACCGCAGAGCATCGTCCAGCGCGACATCTCCAGCACGAAACTTCCCAAACCACTTTGGCACGTCCGATCGTCACAGCACCTCCTCCGTGCACTGCACACGTCTTTTCTGCATTTCAACTGTATTTTTACTTTTCTTGAAATAATAAAACAAAACATGCCAAAAATGTTGTATATTTTCTTCTACCTTCAGTATTAAATTGGCTGCACAAAAATTCACCAACTTTAATGCTTTTTTTAATGTACACGGATGTGACAACCGTCACAATACAATTTAACAAAATCGTCTCAAATCCAGCTGAAGACAACAGGTGTCACTAGAGCCGCTGCACGGGAAAAACCAAGCGAGCCTCTTGGCCAACCCAGTCACCGTCTAAGCGCTGCGCCCTCACTTGAGAGCGGTGTGACAGTGCGTGGGGCTGTAATGGAGAAAAGTGTTTTAATCTTGTGTAACGGACCCTAAAAAAGGCATCACGCTGTGGCTCCCATTCCCGGCGCCCATCAGCTGGGAAAGCAACCGGGGCCGAGGTGCGTGCCTCTGCGTCTCGGAGGCCGGCTTAAAAACCCGCCATTCCGTAAAGGCTTCAAAACGGAAACCACGTCCCGTTGAAGTAGAAAAAGCAAACTGCAGACCAAGAGCTGCGTGAGCGAGGGCCCACAGGGCGCACACGGGCAAACCTGCCCCAGGCCCCGGCCGGCCAGGGCCCCTGAGGAAGGACAGCTGCTCCAGGCTGCGCTGTCCCCGGCTCAATTTACGCGGGTGTTTGTTAAGTGCCGACCGCCCGCGGGCGCAGTGAGAGCACCCCCGCCACCCGAGGGGCAGGGACGGAGAGCCGGGGGAGCCGGGGGAGAGCGAGGGCGGGGGGGGGGGGCGGGGGGGAGCCGGGGGAGTGCCGGGGGGGAGCCGGGGAGAGCCGGGGAGAGCCGGGCGAGAGCCAGCCCGCCACGCGGCCAGCAGAGGCGGCCGCAAGCGACCCGCCCTGCACCCAGGTCCACAGGCTGAGGTCGAAGATCAGCCTAGCATACCGGGGTGTGTGCTTCTTTTTTTAAAAAGATTTTATTTATTTATTTTTGGAGAGAGGGGAAGGGAGGGAGGAGGAGAGGGAGAGAAACATCACTCAGTTGCCTCTCACACGTCCCCAGCTGGGGACCCAGCCCGCAGCCCAGGCCTGCACCCCAACGGGGAACTGAGCCGGCGACCGCTCGCTCTGCGGGACGGAGCGCAGCCACGGAGCCCCCAGCCGCCGGGGCGCGAGGGCACAGACTTCAGTCTAACAGCTTCACTCCCAGTCCTACAAAAACACCCTCACACCCGAGCACAGACCCCGAACACCCAGGGCACGGACTGGAGACGTGAAAGGGCAAGCGCGACGGTCGCAGTGGAGACCCGACCCCCCGCGCCCGACGACGGACGGGCAACCAGGCGGCAGTCGGGCGGGGACAGACGGGCACGAGGGGAGTCACCGACGCGTGGAAGTCAAACCCCTTAAGACAAACAGGCCCAAGAGATGCCCGTGCAGATCAGACGACACCAGACCGAAACCCACGGGGCGCGGCACAGGCCGGGCGCAGAGGCAGCGCACGGCGGGGGGGGGGGGGGCGCGCCTACGCTGAGGACAGGAGCGGGCACGCCCACGGCCTAGCTTTGTGCTTCAGGGAAGGAGAAAGCCAAACCAAACCCAAAGCAGCAGAGAGACGGCAACGAGGACCCGCGCGAAGCACAGGGCGGCCCCGGCCGCCTCCCCTGGAGCCCCAGGGCCCTCCCTCCGCCTCGGAACGTGCTCCCTGAGCCGTGCCTTCCGCCTCTGTGACCTTCTAAGGGAGGTCTCTGCTCCGCAGCTTGGGTCTCGGCTCTGACCCCTTTCTCCACCGAGGCCGCTGAACGGAGGCCGGGCCGGGGCCGGCGCAGAGCTGCCACCCACAACGCTGCGGGGGGCGCTGAGGGACACCCCGCACGCCGCCCGGCGGTCGTTCCGCAGCCCCTGCTGCGGGAATCCTGCCTCCTCTGTCACTTGGGAGTCCCAGAACCCTCTGGAAGAAACGCCACCTGACAGGTCACTGGCCAAATCGTAAGGGCCCGAGAGTAGTCACAGACATGCAGACAGAGCACCGGAGAGGAAAACTTTAAAAAACAAAGCACATAAAAAACAGCAGAGAAAGAACCAATGAAACCCGAAGGTGATACTTTGAAAGGTCGATGAATGGGACAAACTTTTAGCCACGTTAACTGACAGCAGGGAGAGGAGACTGAAATGAGAAACTGAGACAAGAAAGTGGGGACGCCCCTGCCAGCCTCGCGGGCACGCGCAGGACCCCAACTCCCGGTCTAGGCGCCCCAGCGCCCGCACGGACGCGGGAAGGGCGAGCCTGCCCAAACCTGGCGGGGGAGACCGAGGCGGCCTCGCGGGCGAGTCCCGCCGCACGCAGGGAACTGGCCCGGCCCCCCTGAAACCTCCTGAAACCAGGGAGGGGACGCCTCCCCGCCCCACCTACAGGGCCAGTGCTGCCTGGGAACCACGCCAGGACACATGTCCCCAAAAAGCAGGGACACAAAAGCCCTCGGCAAACACAGCGAGCCGGATGCAGCCGCACGGTGACAGGAGCACATGCCACGGCCCGGCGGGGCTCGCTCCCAGGACGCGAGGACAGCCCAGCACCCAGAAGCCCAGCCGGGGCCCGCGGGCGGGAAGCCGCCGGGTGCCGCGGCCGAGGCGGGAGACACCGCTGCCCCACGCTGGCCCCCGGCTCGGGCGGCACCCACCTTGAGGTCGTCCTTGAAGGGGTCGGTGTTTGCAGTACTCATGCGCAGGGCCAGCTCCAGCAGCGCCTCGAGGCGCGTGGGCGCGATGTCATCCACTGGCTTCCTCAGCTCCTCCTCCGTCAGGTCCATGAAGTGCACGAAGAAGTCCCCCTGGTCCATCAGGAAGTAGCGCTTGATGGACCTGGGAGAGGTGACCGGCGGGCGTCAGCAGGGCCCGGGGCGGGGGGTGTGGAGGGGTCGCCGGGGGTGCCCAGACAGGGAGCAAGGCTGGGGAGGAAGGGTCCACAGGCGTCCGGCAGTAAGGCCTGCAAACGACAGGTGGACTGCCGGAGCCCTGGGGCCTGGCTTGCCTCCGCAGGGCCCCCGCCACGTGCCGGGGACGCGCACCTCAGGTGGGCCACGAGCTCCTGCTCCTCCATCAGGAAGTCCAGCAGCACCTTGCTGGCGTAGTTGAACGCCTTCTCAATCTGTTCCACGTATGCCCGCTCCTTCAAGGTGTAGATGACCTCTTTGGCCACTGGGCAGGTGACGTCGTGACCGCACTCTCTGACCACGTTCAGATACTTCCCTGCAAGGACACAAAGGGCCGCAGCCCGGCCTCAAGCCACGCCCACAGGCCTCCCCGGCCCGGCCCGAGCGAGGTGGCCGTGGGTGGGGCTGGCTGGTGGCCGGTGTTCTCGGTGGCTTTTCTTGGAAGGTGTGTGACACCGTGAGATGACCACACGTTTGTTTTTTGTCCCAGTTTCCAGCACTGGGCCCCTAAAACCCCGGATGCCTGGTGATTCAGAAGCCCCCCACCACACTTGAGCTTATGCTAATGAGGGGACCGCTGGCCGCACCCAGCGAGCTTTAGGGCGAGGCTGGTGGTCGGGGACCAGCCTGGGCTGGGGCTGAGGTGACCGCCCAGGGCCGCAGGACAGGACTGCCACGAAACCCTCCAAAGGGGTTCGAAGAGCTTTTGGGCAGTTGGTGAACACGTCCACCCGCCAGGAGGGCGGCGCACCCCAACTCCTTGGGGCCCTCGCCCCACAGGCCACTCCCTGGACCCGACAACGCCCCCCGCGATACCCCGGCGGCCGGGGGGCAAGTGCTTCTAAGCCCCGTGAGCCGCCCTCGCGAGCTATTGGGCCTCAGGAGGGGTCCAGGGGGCCCCGGTTTGCAGTCCCCTTGGACAGGGGTGCCGGCGGCCTAGGGGCCCCAACGCTCACTGCTGTGCCTGAAGCAGGGCCCGCGCTGCGTCCGGGGCGCTGGCGGCAGGGCCCAGCCGCCGTCTGCGAGAACCGGGGCCCGGGCGCGGTGTGGGGACCCCCGTGCGCTATCAGTGCTGGGAGTGAAGCAAGTCCCCCTTCAAGAGTAGCAACAAGGTTCTAGGAAGCTGATGGTAAAGAGGGAGGAGAGACCCCTATTGAGACAACCTCCCAGGTTCGGGGAACAAAATGCGGCCAAGCAGAGCCCGAGCCCGAGCGAGGCCCCGCCAGGAACAGGGCACAGAGGGTGCCCGCCCGGGAGGTCGCCCTGGGCCTCACCCGTGCTGAGCACCTTGCCCGCCATCTTCTGCAGGAAGGACGGGATCTGCCGCTGCACCACGGTGTACCGCTGGTCCCAGTAGCGGTCGTTGTAGTCCTCCTGGATCTTCTCCTTCCGCAGCTCGTGCTCCTCGACCATGAACTCGCTGGAAGCACACAGGCCCGGTCATGGCCGCAGCCCCGCCTGCCCGCGCTGGTCGCCGGGCCTGCCACCCGCGCGGGGCAGCGAGGTGGCCCAGGGCCAGAGCCGGGGCAAGGGTGGCTCGTCCTTACTGTGGCCTGTGACGGGGCCCCGCACGGCTGTCCACACGCGTGGGCAACAGGACACGCCTGGGACGCAGGCCCGTCCACCAGAACCCACGCCGCCCACCCCGCCTCGGCTGTGCCCTCAGCTCAGGACCTCGAGCGGCACCCCTTACCCAGCCTGTCGTGCCAGCTTGTTACTCGGGTCGTTCGTAGACAAATACTATTCCTGCACCACAAGCTCACTAAGTAGTTTGAAAAATAAACCTCAAACAGCAGAACGCCACGAGCTGACGTGTTTCATCTTATGCGCCTCAACTCGTCCCACGGAGGAGCCCACGCCAAGGAGGCTGAGGGGCCGAGGACAGCCCTCCTGCCCTCCACAGCCCGGACAGCACTGAAGGGCCCCCCGCCCGACGCCCCCAGCCCCACCTGTACGGGTCGTTGATGATGCCCCTGTAGATCCACTTCTCCAGGATCTCGAAGTAGGGCACGCTGGCGGCCTTGGTCAGGTAGAGGCACAGCTCCTGCGCCTGGCTGTCCCCCGTGTAGTTGAAGCTCCGGTCGTGCAGGAGGCTCAGGGTGGCCCCCCCGATACACTCGCCTTTATCCACGGAGGTGGCTGTGAGGGGAGGAGACACTCAGTGCCGAGCAAGCGGGAGCCGTGCTGAGCCCCACCCCCGACCCCTGCAGGGCAGGAGCTTCTTCAGGGGGTGCACCCCCACTACGCAGTGGTAGCTGCGCATAAAGTTCACAAGTAAGAGCTTCCAGTTTTCTCTCCCAAGTTAGCAAAACACGAAGCGACACTGCTCCGGCCTCACGACCGGGGGGGCCAACAGCCAGGCAGGGACGGCCCCCGCCCTGCGCCAAGGCCCTCTGGCCGCGGAGACGGTGACGCACCGAGGGAGGCCAGGACGTCCACAGTGCGCAGGGCGGGTTGCACGTGGAACCAGAGCTTCGGCAATGACAGCAGGCCCCGCCGCTGCAGCTGCTCCAGCTGCGAGACCAGCGTCAGGTGCTCCTTCACCAGCGTCCGCATGGCGGCTGCCAGCGCCTGGTTCACCTGCCCGTACTCGAAGGAGGACTTCTCCTCGATGAACCTGCAAGGACAGGCGGTGGTGGTGCCTCTGAGAAGCGGCAGCTACGTTCTCAGGGGAGGCCAGACGTTCCGTGTCTGGCGCCGACGCCCCGCTCATGCTTTTGCGCCGGGGTAACCTGGGGTGACAGGTGCCTGAGCCGAGTGTGTCCGCGGCCGGCGCCCCGCACCCACCTGGTCACGGTGGAGTAGCTGGCAGCCACAGGGAGGATTCTGTTCACCAGCTCCCTGACGGACAGGTCCAGGTTGGGGTCCACCAGGAAGGCCCGGCTCTGCCTCCCGGCGAGGGGCTGGGCGGTGATGTACCTGCCGTCCACGCCCACCAGCACGTAGAGCAGGTCCTCCACGATGGCCGCCTCCTGGGAGGCCAGGGGCAGCGAGCCTGCGGGCCGCAGACGCCGCTGGAGCCGCTCGCCTCGCCTCGGGGCTCCCGCCCCCAACATCCCACCCACAGAAGGTCACGCTCTCACTCGTTTTCCATGAGTGACTGTGCACGTGAGACCTGGGTGTTCGCTCGGCTTCGACCGACCCCACCGGGGCACCCACAGCTCAGAGTTCAAGACCCCCGGGAGGAAGAGCAGGCCCCGGCGGGCCAGGGCGCCCGGACCAGCCCAGCGGGGCCTGAAAGCACTAGGCAGGCAGAGCCCTTACACGCAGGGAGGTGCCTGGCACGAGGACGTCGACAGGGGCCTGAAAAGTGCCTGTGACGGAGCCGTGTGCACCGTGCTTACATGTTGTTCTGGCGTAAAGGGGAGCTTTTCTTTACCGGCTTTAAAATGCAGACAGTTTCTGTCGTGAACATACAGCTTCACAACCACCCAGGAGACTTGCGGAAGGTCACAGGACACTGAGCAGGGCTGCCACCCAATGCCTAGGGCCAGCCCCCCGTTCCTGGCCGTGCACCTGCTCGGACAGACGGCCGTGCGGGGCAGCTGGAGGCAGCCCCAGGAGAAAGCCGTCCCCGAGGATCGCGCCTGCTGCCCAGCGCGGGCCACCCCCGGGCCACGAGACCACGGCCTGGCAGCATGGCAGCACAGCACCGCGCCCCGCAGGTCCGGGCCGCGGCAGCACCAGCTGCACAGCCCCCACCTGCCTGAGGGTGCGGGACGGGCCCCGAGCCCAGCAGCCGCCGTCCCACAGGCCACCAGGCAGGCGGCCAGAGGCGCCCGCTTCACCTACCTATGGGCACAGTGGTGTCGGTGCTTAAGCCCGAGCCGGTGAGGAAGTCCCCAGCCAGCGTGGGCCTCTCGTACACCCACGCCGGGAAGACGGGGAGGCGCTGGCCCGAGTTTTTTTTGTTCTGCTTGTCGCGGAGCATTTTTCTTGTAAGTTCTAGAGACTGGTGAGAACATTTTTAAAAACAAAAGCAAAGACAGACTTTCAGTACGAATAGTTAAGGCCAACGTCAACGGCGTTGAAAAGGCCGATCGCTGAGCCCGTGAGGGTTCAGTAGGTACGTGCAGAAACTCGAGAGACGGGAGGGGCCCGGGCCCTCAACAGGCGCCACGGGCCAGGCAGGGGCACCGGCAGCGAGGGCACCTCGCCAGCGCAGGCCGGCTCTCGTGACCCCGCACCCCCTCCTGTGGCTCAACGCAGACGCGACCCACCTCCTGTGGTGAGGACGCAGCCCCAGCCAGAGACGGTGGGCGAAAGGGGGCGCCCACCCAAGCCCCTCAGGGACAAGGGACAGACGGAGAGCCCCGCCCAGGGCCGTCGGGGTGGTCTGGCCCTCAGGCGCGTCGGCTCAGGTGCCGTGAGAGGGGCACATGCAAACTCGGTTCCTGCATCTCTCACGGGCCGTCGGCGTGAGGGCGTTGTGAGGCACGGTGCACAGGACACGCCCCACCAGTGCTGGCTGCTGTCCTGGTCCCAGCCGCTGCGCTCAACAAGCACCTGCTAAGTTCAGACCCTCGCAGGGACACAGCTCTGCGGGGCTCGAAGGCCAGAGGCAACTCCACGAGCAGTTGTGCACCAAGAGAACAGGGCAGGACATGAATCCAAAAGTAAAAAAAAGCAGCAAGTATAGGAGAAAAAGGGCGATCTAGAGAAAATTGTAAAGTATGATTTCAAAAAGACAAACTGTACCCCTGGCGGGCGTGGCTCAGTGGACTAGGCGCTGGCCTGCAAACCAAAGGGTCGCTGGTTCGATTCCCAGTCCGATGCCTGGGTTGCGGGCCACATCCCCCAGTTGGGGGCGCATGAGAGGCAGCCACACAGGGACGTTTCTCCCCCTCTTTCTCCCTCCCTCCTACTCTCTAAAAATAAATAAATAAAGCCTTAAAAAATAATGAAAGTAATAAAAAATAAAGAGACAAGTTCTGAGAGACACACAGGAAATGGGGAAGAACGTGGGCTCGCAGGGTGTGCTCGCGGATTGCGCGCGACCGCCCAGCAGCAGACGGGCCGACGGCCCGTGGCAGGAACCCCCCCAGACCCCCACCCACACACAGCGAGTCTTGCTCCACATCCACATCCAGATCTGTCCTCAGCCGACGACAGCGAGATGCGCCCCCCCTCCCACGGCAGCACGTGGACCTCTGGGTGGCGGGTCGCAGTACCTGCTGCCACGTGGAGCCTGCAGCCACGCTGCCCAGCTGCTTCCTCAGCTCCTCGAGCTCCTGCAGGGAGATCCTGGCGGCTGGGGCCGGGGCGCCGAGGCTGGTGGTGCTGCTGGCGGCGGCCGCGGCTGCCAGCTCAGCTCTCTCCTTCGCATTCTGCTGTAGGTACTGCAGCGTCTGCACACACAGAGCCCTGCGTGACACGGGGCCGCACACGTGTGTGCTCGGCCCAGGAGGGCCACCCCACCCCCTTTTCCCAGCCCCAGGACCCGGCAGAGGGCGGGAGCACAGGCTCCGGCCTGGCCTCGAGCTCCCCGCCCCTGGCGCCGCGCCCTCCACGCACCGCGGCCCCAGGCCTTTCTCGCCACTGGACCGCCCCACCGCGTTCCCGGCACTGGGGGCCAGCACCCGCCCGCTGCGCCTCGGCTGCCGGATGGGCCCGCGCCTCGGGCCGCAGGAGGGAGGGCCCACGAGCCCCTGGGTGCTGACATGCGCTCTTCTCTGTATCACACGCGTCTCGCATGTGGCTTCAAACTAACAAAAAGGCGTGAGACAACAACAGATATAGAGCCGCCCAGAGGCAACAGCTCTCAGCACCTCCTGCATTCGTCACGAGCTATTTTCATTCTGATGCGACAGGTAGGCAGAGTGGCAGGCAGAGGCACCAGTGGCAGCGGACTCGCCAGGTGTCGCCTCTGCTGCACAAGCCCGTGGGCTTCAACCGCGCACGGGAACCGCCCCCCAGGGCACGCTGCCCATGGGGCACACGCCACGCAGGCCGGGCCGAGCGCGGCAGCCACTACCTCTTTGTCCTCCGCGAGCTTTGACAGCAGGTACACCAGCGGGTCAAGGGTCCGTGTGTTTTTAGATTTCAGTTCATCGTATTTCTTTAGAAAGTCTTCTGGAGTACGAGAAAATTCCGCTATTTTAACCTCAAAAGCACAAACACAAGTGATTTAGTAGTGATAATGAAGAACTGTAAAAACATCTTGCAGAATATTAAACACAAACACCCACACACAGTGGAATTAGGCTGATCACTGAAACAGAAGGAGGAAGCCTCGTCCAACACCTTGTGAAAGCCCATCTCCCTCCGAGGCGCCCCTCGCGTTCCATGCCCCACGCCCTGCGCACAGTAACCACGGACTCTTCCCGTGGTAACTCACACACTCACTTTACTCTGTTCCCTCTGAAACGGGTTATCACATGCAGGCTCAAGGCTTGTATTTCCTAATTTTTTAAAAGACTTACTCATGTATTTTTAGAGAAAAGGGAAGGTAGGGAGAAAGAGAGAAACAGCGATGTGAGAGAGAAGCACCCATTGGTTGCCTCTCGCATGCCCCCAGCTGGGAGCGAACCTGCAACCCAGGCCTGGGCCCTGACCTGGCATTGGCCGGCGACCCTTCAGTTTGCAGGACAACGTCCGCCCTGCTGGTCAGAGCCATTGATTGATTGATTTTAGAGAAGACAAAGGCGGGGGGGAGGAGAGAGAAACACTTGTCTGTAGTTCCATTTATTGATACTTCAATTCTTGCATGTGCCCTGGCCAGGGATCGAACCTGCGTACCAGGACATATTAAGACAACAGTCTAATGACCGAGCGACCTGGTCAGGGCAAGTGAATTACATGTTTTTTGAACAAAGAAAAATAATTCACTCGAAAGAGAGTTCAGTGCGGTCACCACCAAGAGCTCCCTCTTCTGTCGGGGAAACGTCTGTGTCATGATGTGACTACAAGAGACACACACGTGCCCCTTGTCACAGGTATCGGGGGCGCGGTGAAGGGGCTGGGCTCCCGGAGCTTCCGTCGACTCCTCTGTCTGGGCTGAGGGGCAGAACCACCGTGGGGCCCACAGCGAGGCTTCCCTGGGCTCCCTGACATCGTCGCCCGCACGGCCAGGGCTGCCCAGCAGGGACGGCAGACTCTAAGCACAGCACAGGGACCGGCCACAGCGGGCGGCGGCGGCGCACGGCAGGGCGGGCACTCACCTTGGCACTGTGCGCAGACACGGTGGTGGTGACGTATGGGGTCCGGTTCTTCTGCAGCAGGTCGATGTAAACCTCGGCCCCCTCCCCTCCACGCACGCGCAGCAGGCTGAGCAGCTCGTTGACATCATGGTGGATCCGAAATTCACTCATTGTTCTGGCTCTGAGACAGCATCACCATGTGTCCTCCTAAAGGGAAGAGGGAAGCTATTTCTAGAAACAAAACCCTATTGATATAAAAAATTTAGAGCAGTCAAATTTGGCCAACGTCAGACCTTGGATAAACCAAGCCATCCTGTGGGCCCCATGATGCCCCTCCAGGATGCCACCCTAGCTGACTCTCACCCCGTGGGGCGGGTTCCTGGGGCGAGCCCTCCCCTGCCTGCAGGCGGTGCCCCTGGAGTAGACTGTCATTTCTCGCTGGGCACCGTCCCCAGTGGACGTGCGACCTTTGGGGATCCACTGTGTCAGCCAGCTTCCAGGTCATGCCTCAGCCTGAGAACCTGTAGGCTGGGTCCACCTACACCCTGGGCCCGGGGCAGGCAACACAGCGGTCCTGTTGGGGGCCCTGGGTCTACCCAGGGACCTCCGCACAGGCCGAGGCCACGGACCCCCGTCCCAGCACAGGCGTTTAAACCCCAGCCCCGGCCCACGAGGCCCACACCTGGCTCGGATGCTGCACTGCTCAGGTTTGTGTTCTCTGCATGGTGGGACCTGGGGCGTTTCCTTCTTTTGCCCAAACTTGGCTACATCTGCGGGTGCTTTTCATAAAACTGCTACATGTTCCCTGTGCATTCGCTTCCATCTCCGCTCAGTCGGCCCTGCCGACCGGACGTCCCAGGGTCTCACCACTAGATACAGAGCCCTCTGGCATCGACGCCAAGGCTGAGATGTGCCCAAGGGGACGGTAGTGGCCGGCACCGGGCTTTGGTCCTGCCGATGACGGCAGCCCATCAGCCACCACCATCAACAGAACTGATCACAGGGAGACGCGCACGGGCGATGAGCTGGATTCGAGAAGCGAGGAGCCGCCAACCTACACACTTCTCCAAGGCTCTGTGACCCCAAGCGGGTCGGGACCACTGCGCTGACTGCGGCGGAGACGACTGGGCACACACTCCGCAACTAATTCCGCACGGATCTTAACGGTAACTGTGATCTCGGCGGGTGGGGAAACGAGTCCTCCGGACGCAACTGCAGTTCACGGTGCCCAAACCTCAAACACCGACTCCGAGCGGAAGGACAGAGGCAGCGGCAAGGACTAGTGCCCGGTTGCCAGCTCAGGGGCTGATGCTACCGGGGGGCGCTGACAGGATCCCGCCGCAGCCGCGGGCGCCTGGGAGCACCGGGCCCGCCCGCCCCAGTGAGTCTCGAGCGCCCTGGGGGCCCCTACGCGTCGCCTGTCACACTTCAGTCGGGGAATTGCCTCCGACTTCTGCGCCGTGAGCACCGGGCACGGCGCCCTGCGCGGCTCGGGCGCGGAACGCAGGGCCCGACCGCCGGGGCTGGGGCGCCACCGACGGGCTGTGGGCAGAGAAGGCGTGCAGAAAGCCCGGGCTTCTCGAGAACCGTGAGCGGCCCGGAGCGGGGCGCGAGCCTCGGCAGGAGGGACCCTGCACCACCGGGTCCGGGAACGACCCCGCGTTCCCGCCGCAGTCGCCGCACTCACCGCCCGCGCCGCCCCACCTCCGGAGCCCGCCGAAACCCGCCGCACTGCCCGCGCCGGGAGCGGAAGTGGTTCTCGACGTCACGTCCGGCCCCGCCCCGCCGGCTCAAGGACGGTGGCCGGGAGGCGTGGCTGCCCGAGTCGCGGAGGACGATGCAGCTGCCGCCCGCGCTGCACGCCCGCCTGGTGGCGGGCCCCGGGGCGGCGGAGCCGCTGCCCGTGGAGCGGGACCAGACCGCCGGGGCCGCGCCCTTCCGCTTCGCGGCGCGCTTGGTGCGCTTCCCGCGGGAGCACGAGTTCTTCGAGGTGCGGGGTTGAGGGAAAGGATAGTCGTTGAGGGGCGCGGCCTGGAGCCTTGGGGCCGGGGTCTGGGCGGGGTCTCCGGCTGGGGGCGGGACCAGTGGATATTGGGGCGGGGCCTAAGACTGGCGGGCGGGGCTAAGGCGGGGGCGGGCCCGGTGGCTGGAATCTCTAGCTGTGCGCCGCCCCGCCCCCCCCCCCCGCGCGTGTCGTGCAGGACGGGGACGTGCAGCGACACCTCTACCTCCAGGACGTGCTCACGCAGGTGGCCGAGGCGCCCGAGAGGCCCAGGTGAGCTGCTCTGCGCCCCGCGCCGTCCCTCGTCGCTCCCCACCTCACCCCTTCCCAGGCCCCCCGCCCCCCGCGCCTGCCCCTCCCTGGTGGCGCGTCGCGCGCCCTCCGCCTGGACCACTGTCCAGGCCCCGCCTTGTTTTGGCCTCGTCGCCACTTGACTGTAGAAATTTCATCCTTAGAAAACTATGCTTTGGAATTGCAAAGGAACAGCCTAAGCCTTATCAGAGTGCTTAAAGGGACGTTGTCGACAGCCCAACGGCCTCTGTCAGCGGCGGTTTCCTTCGCCAGGGTGCCCGAGTTCACCTGTCAGGTGGCGGGCTGCTCCCAGGCCTTCGACACCCTGGAGGACTATGAGCACCACTACCACACCCTGCACAGGAACACGTGTTCCTTTTGCAAGCGGGCCTTCCCCTCGGGGCACCTGCTGGACATCCACATCCTGGAGTGGCACGACTCCTTGTTCCAGCTCCTGTCCGAGAGGCAGGACATGGTGGGTGACCCAGCGCCCGCGGGGGGCTGGGGCCGGAGGTGGCTGCTGAGGGTCAGCTCCCAGCTCCGGGGTCGGGGCAAGGCCGGCAGGCACCTCCCCAGCCCCGGGGCGGAGGGAACACCGTTTCCGTTTCAGTACCAGTGCTTGGTGGAAGGCTGTGCGGAGAAGTTCAGGACCAGCAAAGACAGGAAGGACCACCTGGTGAGGCGTCACCTCTACCCCGCGGACTTCCGCTTTGACAAGCCCAGGAAAAGCAGAGGGTACGTGCGGCGCTGTGCGCTCTCCCTGCGGCGCGCAGGGACGCCTTTGAGTCCGCGGACACCGGCGCCAGCACCTGGGTCCCTTGCTGTCGTGCTGGGCTGCGGTGGACAGAAAGCCTGACCGGCCGTAGCTGCCAGCGGTGGGGGTTAAGTAGATACAGGCCAAGCCCCCTGCCAGAGGGAGGGCCGCGGGGACAGCCTGGCTTCCCAGCTCTGCAGGGACTCTCTGGGAGCCGTCGCAGAGTCTCCCCGGGGTGCTGGCGTGGAGGACGCCTCCGTTGTCAGCACTCTCCCCTCGCGAGGTGGTGTCTGGCCTGCGCCTGCCCCTCGGCCCCGCTCTCACATCGCCCGCTCCGTGGGCCTCTGGGATCCGCCCCAGCCCCGTGAGCCCCTCTGACTGTCCGTGCGCCCCGTTGGTGCGTTGATGAGGTTGACAACAGCCATTTATTACGCGTGACTGTTTAGGGTGCACTGTGGGGAGACACCCCTGGAAACAACTCTTGAGTTTGTACTACGTCTTTTTGCCTCTTTTTAAAACTGATTCTTTCAGGTAAACCTTCATAACCATCTAAAAGTTACACTGAAAGTCGGATTTTCAGACAAACTTGTTTTCCCCGAACAGGACTTTGGTGTTTAAAACCATTGCCAAAGCCCTCTGCAGGGCGGGAGGCTTCTGCGCGGGCCTTGAGGATAAGGGAGCTGCCTCCGCGCCGGGGGGTCATTTTAGGACAAAAACCCGCTGCTGGGTCGGGACCTCGGTGTTGGGAGGAGACTCTCAACATTGTGCAGTTAATTTTAGCAAATTTCTCACTAATTGGCATGAAAAGACGTTTGTTGCTGTTCGTTGTCACTTACCACCTGGCACCATAAAAACACATTTCTTTCTTTAGCTTTTTTTTAAAGATTGTATTTCTTCTTAGAGATGGGAAGGGAGCAAGAGAGGGAGAGGGGCGTCCATGTGTGGTTGCCTCTCGTGCACCGCCCACTGGTGACCTGGCCCACAACCCAGGCCTGGGCTCTGCCTGGGAATCGAACCGGCAACCCCTTGGTTTGCAGGCTGGTGCTCCAGCCTTAAGCCATTCCAGCCAGGGCTAAAAATACATTCCTGAAGGCAAAGTGTCATTGTTATACTTAAACTAATAAAACGTTCTCTTTACCATGTCGGCGTTTATATTCAACCTTGTAATTGTCGTTCTCATCTGGGTAGCCTGGAAATTACATGATGCCAAAATAGTTATAAAATGTCCTTTCAGGAAAAAATAGTCTCTTCCTGGGGAGTTTGTTTCTGGGGTAGATGCACTCACCACGCTGGAGCCCCGCTCACCCCCTGCCTTCTGCAGCCCAGCGACGCCCACGGCCTTGCGGCAGGTGTCCGCAGAAGCCCCGGGGGACAACAGGGAGCAGTCCGAGGGGGAGGCCATGGAAGTCTGCCCGGAGCCCGCGCCACCCGCCGCAGAGCCCACGGGGGAGAGGCGGACCTGCGGCCGCAGGTCAGCGGCTGACGTTGCTGAGGCTCTGAACGTGGGGAACTGTGGGTCTGACCCTGGGAGGAGCGGGCGCTGGCTCGAGTGCGGCCGCAGCGGCGGCTGGAAGCCGGCTGTTGACGGTCGCAAGGACGGCTGTGTCTCTCCGGCGCTGCTTCCAGAAGCCCTGCTGTGGGCAGGGAGAAGCTCGGTTGCAGTTGTTCTAGTTACAGCCTGGGAGTGCATGTTTCTAGTCTCTCTGGTATTGATGGTGCTTTTATGGGGTTAAACTTGAGTTTACATCTAGTGTTGGGGGAAATTTTGGACAAATGAAAAAATCGCCAATGAATCCAAACTGACAGGAAGGCCCCTTCACGCAGCTGCTCGTACTTTGGCCAGCGAGGAGATCCCGGTGCCAGTGGGCAGTTAGGGCTTCGGGGGGTGGGGGGGCGGTGACAGGAAGTCGCCCTGGCGAGCCCGCCGGGAGTGGGTCTGAAGTCAGGGAGCTGGCCCAGGGCCGCGGAGCAGGGCCTGCAGAAGGAAGAGCCTCCTTCAGGAATGTCCGTGAGTGAGAGCGTGTCCTGGAACAAGAGGAAAACGCACGCAGGCCTGTCCCCGGAACTGGGCTGTGCGTTGGCCAAAGGTGTGACTCTTTAGCGTGAAGTTTTTTCTTTCTGTTTCAGGATACCGTCTACCATCTGCTTTGGTCAAGGCGCATCCCGAGGATTTAAAAGCACCAAGAAAAGAAATAAGCACCCGTGACGCCTGAGACCGAGGGAGAGGCTCGTGGGAGGCGGGACGGGCGCCCCCGTGGACGCGGTGTCCGTGGTGAGCTTGGTCTCCTGCCTCCTCGTGTGGCCGCCCAGGACTGGGCCTTTGCCACCTCTGTCGCCGCCCCTGAGGGACCGGCCGGATGGCGCCAGCAGCCAGCGTCGGCGGCGAGGGACCGCGGGTTCCGGGGCGACCCGTGCCCTGGCCCGCCTCCCTCTGTGGGGGCCGCCCTGCAGACGCCCTTTTTAAAGCTAATACTTTTCACAAATGGTCTCTAGTCATCTCTGTGTTGAAGTAGGCAGAGGAACGGGCGGTAATCACACGCGAGCACTTTGTTTCCAGCGTCCAGTTGTCAGGGAGATGTACGAAGCTTGGCACCGCTGGGAGCTGAGCGGGCGCGGTGCCGGCTGCTGGACAGGGCCGGGCCAGCCTGCCCCGCGGTGGCCTGGGGCGGGCAGCCAGGGCTGGAGGAGTGCCAGCCGCGGCGCCTCCCTGGCGGGCGTGGAGCAGGGCCCAAGGCAGCAGCCCCTCACCGGCGGGGCGGTCGCCAGGCGGCTGCGGGGAGCACGCGGGGGGCGGGGGGGGGCACGTGAGCGGAAAACAACAGGCCCGCGCTGTTCAGACCAGCACCGCCGGCCGAGGCCCCCAGAGTAGGGCCCCGGCGGGGCCTCTCCCCAGACGCCTTGTGCCTCGCAGCGGGCGCCTGGGGTGCTTCTGCGCTGGCGTTGCCCCCACCTCAGGCAGGGCCCTGGGTTGGCCCAAGGCAGCTGTGCATCTCTGACAGTCACGCCCAAAGCCTCGGGGACCTGGAGGGAGTCTCAGATGGTGTCACCTCACGCAGCAACTTCACACTCTGAAACTCCTGCCGGCTGCCAGGTGCGCAGGGAGAAGGGGTGAAACCCCAGGTACAGGTCCTGGTCCTTTGAAGACCCGATGGGCCCCTTTCCTGATGGACGCTGGCCGGCGCCGAGGGGCGCGCGGGCCCACCCGGCCGCCCAGAGGGGGCGGCTCCCCACAGAAGCCCACTCGCCTGCCCGTCCCCGAGACCCGCTGTCCTGCGGCCCCGCGCGTCTGTGGGCGCGAGCTCTCTGCAGGCTGCGCACCCTGCCCCAGCTCTCCTGTGCGCATGGGCCACCCCGGGGCACCCTCAGCCCTGGCCTCACCCTAGAAAGCAGCTTGTTTTTGTCTCAGTTTTCCTCCTGAAGCAGGGAATTTGAAGCTTCGGTGTGAAGAGTGTTGCTGACGAATGGGAAAGCCGCCGCCCACAGCGAATTGTGAGGAGGTGCCGGTGTTCCTGCTGCCGGTCCCAGGGCCAAGGGGAGACGAGCGTTTACCAGCAGCCGCGGGAGCCAGAGCCACACTCCAGGTCCCCAAGCCTGCCGGAGGCGCTTGTGGCGGGAACTGTGACAGTCTCTTTCGGTTTTGCACGAAAGAAGGAGGTTTCCTTCCTCGAGCGACCAGAACCGCTGGGTGACCGGACTTTCCCGGCAGCTGCCGTGCGGAGTCACGTGAGGGGCAGGACGCGGCGCCGTCACGCCTGGACCCCGCGCGTCCGGTGCCTGCGCGTCCTCCAGAGCCCGTGGGCGGACGCGCGGCCCCTCGTCCTGCCGCCTCCCTTTTCTCCCTTTCGTGCCTCGTTCCGGACGAAGGGGGCTTCCCACACTCCTACGGGGGCAGGTGGACGCCCTCTAGGTGCCCTGCGGGTAGTTACTCCCGCGGTTTCACTGCGAGTCCTTCGCTCGTTCAGGTCGGAGACTGATCGCTGCCTCGTCCCTTCCCCCAGCAGGACAAGGACTGCAGACTCTCGCCCTCCGCCCTCCTGTGCCATGTCGGGCCGGCCTGACCCTGCGGGGCGTCGGGCTGTGGGTCCGGCGGTGGGTGTGTGGAGATGCCCCGCGGTCACTGCCCTCCGGGCCCCTCTGCCGGGCAGCTGTTGCCAGGACCCCCTTCCGCAGCCTTCCGTGAGGGTCAGCGGTGGCCGATCCGGTTCGCCTGAAAGGGCTTTAGTGCTCTTGCCCTGGAAGGGTGCTTTGGCTGGGGCGCAGCACCTGGCCGTCCCCGCGGCTCGTCGGGCGTGTCCCACGGGCCGGTCGCGGGTCGTCCTGCCAGGGCGCAGCCGTCAGCCGGCAGTTCCCTCGAAGGCAGTGTGTCTTCTGTGTCTGGTGTCCACTCAGGTGCTTTGGGTGAAGACACCTGCCTCATTGCTCTCCATTGGGTTTGGTTTTGTTTTTAAGATTTCATTCATTTATTTTTAGGGGAACAGAGGGAGAGAAACATGCCTGTGTGGTGGCCTCTTGCGCGCCCCGTGCTGGGGACCTGGCCACCACCCAGGCCTGTGCCCTGACTGGGAATCGAACCGGCGACCCTTTGGTTTGCAGGCTGGTGCCCAGTCCACTGAGCCGGGGCCTCATTGGGTTTCTTTGAACCTACAGTTTTTCTCTCTCCAGATTCTGCCTCCACCCCCTTCTGTCCTTTCTCCTTCTAAACATCCAACTGAATGTGTGTGAGGCGTTGTCACTATCTTCCATGTTTCTTAACAGCTCTTGTATCTTCTAGTCCTTTTCTGTCTGTGCTACATTTTAGATCTTCAGACCCACTTGTCCGTTCACTGATTTTCTCATCCGCTGTATCAAGTGTGCACTGGAGCCTCCAGCCAGCCCAGCGGGACAGGGGCTCGGCAGAAGTCTGTGCCACGGGGTTTAGCTTCAGCCCCGTTTAACAGAAGACCCACATAATGACCGGAATGCGGCCTCCCCAGCCCCTTGAACCCAGGGCCCTGTCTGGGGTGCTGCACTCGGCACTCAAGCTGGAAAAACAGGCTCACTGGGGGCAGGGGCAAGAAAGTACAAAGTACAACCTGGAAAAAAAATCATCCCTTGAATGTTTAAAGGAATAATATAGCTGTTCGCTGTGGTTTTTAAAACAGCTGCTTAGAGCGTTGTCCTGATAGGCCACGGTTGCAGGTTCGACCCCAGTCAGGGCGCATGCCAGAATCAGCCCGTGAAAGTACCAGCACGTGGGACGGTGGATGTGTGTGTGTTCTTTCCTCTCTTTCTCTAAAATCAAATACATTTTTTTAAACCCTCATAGTTCATACATGATGATTCAGTCTCTCTGCATTTTGCCACCTCTGAAATCGAGCAGCTCACCGCCACTGGCTGGGTCAGCTTGATTAGCCACGTGGCCGTTTTCCGAAACGGTCCCCTAGCCGATGCCCGGGACGCAGCGCGGAACGTCCGAAACCACGGCGGCTGCAGTCAGGTGCGCGGGGCAGCACTCCGGGCGTTGGAAGTGCCAGGCCTCCCCGCGTCTGGGTAGCGTCCTGTGCCGTGGTGCCAGGGAAGCCCCGTGGGGCCCGCTATCTGGAGACGCTTCCTGGGAACGCTCCGGGATTTGGGGCGGGTGGGAGCAGACCCGGGACGCAGCGGTGGGGATCACGCCGCTTCCTTACCAGTCCCTCGGACAAAGTGCCGCCCTGTCGGGTTTTGCCGTTACAAAGTATTTCACACGCCCAAACGTTGCAAAGTCGCGTGTCCCTGTCGGGAGAGCAGGGGCTGCAGCCCCACCCCCGGGCTTAAGACGCCCCCAGCGCTGCATTTTTAGAAGTTTCACGAGGAATTCTCTGACCCCCAGACAACGGCTGCTGTATGACCATCCACGATCTGCAGTCGGGTCTGGGAGTCCGACCCCCGAGAAATCCTGAAACTGACCGACCCAGCCCCGCCTCAGCGTGGCCCACAGCTCGGGGCCCACGGCCCGGGGTCCGTGCCAGGGTGGCCTAAGAGCGGCACCCCGGACGCGGCAGGCACGGCTGGCGCAGGGGCCCCCGACAGGCTCTGAGCGCCAGCAGTGCCCAGGAGGGAGCCGGGGCCCAACCAGACCCTCCCACAGCAACCACAGTGATGCGCCTGCCTCCTTCCCTGAGGTGACGCTGAGGGGCGGCTGGTGCGAGCTCTGGTCCCCCAGACCCACGAGGCCCGTTTGTTAGACCTCGTTTAAGGAGCCCAGAGAGACACCCCGGCTCGGCAGGCAGGGCTGCCCCCCCCCGGCTCCACCCAGTGTCACCCACGCTGCGCAGCTCCGGCCGCTCCTGGGCCCCCGAGCGCTGGCCTCCGTGTCCCAGATGTCGCCTGCCCTGAACGCCTGACCCCTCGTCCAGGTGGCCTCCCAAGGGCAGGACGGCATCTCCAGACCCCCCAGCAGCACATGGCAGGGCCCAGATGGGACGGGGGACCAGGACCTGGGTTGGGGGTTTCTGTCCTGGGGTGAGGGCCCTGGGGCTCGCAGACGCCTCAGCGCCTGGGGACCACCCACGCCGGCTGCAGGAGGTGCCAGGCAGGCCCACGGCCCCGGGGACTGGCGCAGGAGGGTCAGGGCCACGTCCCCCGGGGGAGGGGGCGGCAGCCGAGGTCCAGGGGGAGGGTCCCGTCTGGGTGAGGTTGCTCCAGCCCCGCCCAGCAGCAGGGCGCTCAGCGGGGGCTCTCCGGTGTCTCAGTCCCCTCCAGCGGTCGAGTGGCTCCGTGGAGGGGCCTGGGCAGGGAGCCTCTCCACGCAGGTGTGCTGGTCAGAGATGGCGGATTCAGCAAATTGCCCCGCCAGCCCCAACCGCCTTGCCTGCGACCCAGGACGGCAGGGGCCCCGCTGCTCCGCGATGACACCGCTGTCCTGTGGGGAACAGGGGGGGGGGGGCCAGGCGCGCCTTTCCCCCTGGGCTGGAGTCCCTGCTGCCTTTGCCTGCGACTTCCTCGTACCGTGACCATTCTCACGCCGCTGGCAGTGTGGGCACTGCCGTCCTGGTCCCCAGCTTCCGGGGCCTCTCTCAGAAACCTCAGGCGTGAGAAGGGGGCCAGGGCGCTGAATGGCCTCAGAAAGTAACAGCTGTGCGCTGGCAGGGGAGAGGGGCCCACGGCCCCTCGGCGCCTGGGGGCTGGGTCTGTGCCCTTGGAGACCCCGAGTGGCGCTGGGCTCCGAGTTTAAACCGCGCAGCTCAGGCCGCGCAGCACACGCCTGGGCCGATGGGCAGCGGGGTTGCCTCCTGCCCCCCGCCCCCCTTTATTCCAGCAGCTTGCGCTTCGAGAGCTGCGTTCGCTTCCATTTAAAATCCGCTGTGAATGTTCATTTTTCCAGGAAACACAGGGAGAACACGGATGGTAACGCACAATCTAACGCAACAGCCACACAACCCGGGACGTCTCTGTGGCCATTTCCTGGGAACAGCTCCTCCGCCGTGCGGAGCGGGGCTCGCCGGGCAGCCAGACCAGCCCGCAGCACCGACTGGAGCCTGCTGGGAGCGGGGGCGCGCAGCCCGGGTTCTGGCTGCCGCTCGGGGGCTGGGCGAGGGAGGGGCGGGGCCGCCCACAGCCGGAGCAGGCTGAGCGGCCGCGTGGGCTTCTGTCCGCCGGCCCTGTGACCGGCCCGGCCCGGCCCGAGTCCAGCGGGAGCGCCGAGGGAGCGGGCGACACCGTGTGGAGGGACCCCAGCCTGGCAGTGCCGGCCTCCTGCGGGCGCGCCAGCAGCTCTCCCTCCTTCCCAGCCCCAGCCCGCGCGCCCGGCCGCCCGGCGGGGTCCCCAGCGGGGACTGACCACCACGGTGCTCCCCGTGCCCATCCGAGACCACCTGGCCTCTCTGTGTGGACTCCCTGTGTGCCCACACGTACACAGACACATGCCCCACAGACAGCATCCTGGCTCTGGCTGCCAGATATTCTTTAGTAGAATAAATACAGGGAAAAAATCCCCAACGCAAGCGTGAGAGTTTCCATCCCGCCAGGAAGCGACACCCCAGGCAGTGCCCGGCAGCGGGCGCTTCCTTTCGGCGGTCCCCACTGAGTTGTTTTCGTTTCTTTGTTCTGGGACCAGCTTCTTGCCTCTGGAGACAGTCCGGCGACTCCTTCCGAGCAGAGCTGGTTCCCGAAGCGAGGGCCGCGGAGGGAGGCCCGACAGAGCGAACGTCAGGAGGCTTTATCGGCTGCCTTGGACAGAGGACGCTCTACCCCTGAGGACACGGTGTGACACTCTGTTACTGTCTTTCAGGGAAGTTTGTCTAGAACCAACGCGGTATTTAAGAAGTTTTTAAACAGCTGTAAGATGCGCACAAATAGGCTTGATGCCTCGATTGGAACATTATATCAACAAGAAACTGAAAGAGAAAAAAAGACCGTTGGGAGGCGGGGACATCAGTTTCCCCGCGAGGACGGGAGCGAGCGCACCTCCGTGCCCTGCGCGCACCCTCCCCCGCGGACCCTCAGTCACGACCAGGCAGAGCCGCTGTCCAGGCCGCCTAGGAGAGGTAGTACAGGCCGTAGGCAGTGACGGGCGTGGCGAGGAGTCCCGGCACCTGCGGCAGGTTGCCTGTCGCCGCGCCGTAAGCGCCCGGGGCGCCTTGCAAGTGGGCGCCCAGGGGGAAGGGCAGGGCGAACGCGGGCAGCAGCGGCTTGGGCACCAGCTTCAGCTTCTCCAGCTCGGCCTCCTGCAGCCGCTTGGCCTTGGCCCGGCGGTTCTGAAACCAGATCTTCACCTGCGTCTCGGTGAGGCTCAGGCTGCCGGAGAACTCGGCGCGCTCTGCGATGGACAGGTACTGCTTCTGGCGGAACTTGCGCTCCAGCGCCAGCAGCTGCGCGGTGGTGAAGGGCGTCCGCGGTTTTCGGTTGTTCTTGTGTTTTCGGAGGGTGCAGGGCGGGGGGCTGGGGGCGCCTGGAGGAAAGAGAAGCACAGGCTGGGTGCTTGGATGCCGACAGTCACCCCCCTTTCTGGAACCCTGGGTACCCTTCCCGCCCCGGGATCGTGCCTCCAAAACCACAGGGGAAAAAGAGGCAAGGCCCCGGGGAGACGGTGCACGTGCGGCCAGGCTGCTGTGGACTCGGTCTCTGCTCCCCAAAGCCGCGGCCCGCACCCCAGGGAGGCGGGGAGCTCTGCCCACTCGGAGAAGCGAGAAGCTTGGGCTGGAGGCTGCCGCCAAGAGCTGAGAGCAGAGAGAGGGTTTGGCGGCACAGAAGCTCCCCTTCGCGGGGATGGACGGGGTGGGGGTGGGGGCGGATGCAGGGGCACCCAGACTGCGGGCCGCGGGTTCCGACCCTGCTCCCGGGGAGGGCGGAAGCCTGGTTGGGGGACGCGGGAGGGGCTGCAGGGCTGGCGCGCACCCCAGGGCTCGGGTGGGTGGCTTCCCCCTTCGTACTCAGGCCGGACGGGCAGGGGCTGGTTATTTGGCTAAGTTTCGAGGGACAGAGCCCCTCCCGCCCTGGTCTTCCTGACTCGGGCCAGGCGGGCTCGCCCGCGCGCGGCGCCGTGCGCCAGGGCACTTACGTGGGGAGGGCGAGCGGGCGGCTGGTGGGAGCCAGGCCCGGGGCTCCGGGGCTCCCCGCGGCCTCTCCTCCCCGGGCTCCGCGGGCTCGGGGCCGCGCCGGCGCTGCGCTTCCAGGAGGGACTCGACACTGAAGGGCAGCGCGCCGGGCCCCGCACGGTCCCCGCCAAAAGTCCCGCGCCCAGCGGGGTTCATGGTGAGCGACGCCGGGGCCATGCGCGAGCCGGCGGGCGCGAGGCTGCAGGGACCCGCAGGCGCGAGGTAGGGGCCGCGCGCCTGGCGACCGCTGGGAACTTGGAGGCGACCCGGCCCTCCTTGCCCTATAAAAAGGCGGCGTCCCTTTCATGAGCTGCTGTCCAATCGCCGCAGCCGCTGTCGCGTGGGCCTAGGCGTCCATTGGCTTTGCTGCCCCGGGATCGGATGGGGGCGGGGCCGTGGCCTGGCACCCGGCACCCGTCGCTGGCCCCGGCCCTCCTGGCGCGCCCCTGTCCGTCGCCCGGAGCGCCGGGGGCCCGGCCCGCGCTCCTCCCGTCCAGGAGGCCGCTGGGACCCCCGGGGAGCGCGCGGCGCTGGCCCCAGCCTCCCCGCCGGAGGAGCCGACGGCGCGCGCGGCCCGAGCACCCGCCCTTGACGGCGCGCGGATCCCGCCCGCCGCCCCTCCATCGCTGGCCGGCTGTTCCTCCTGCGGCGCCCCAACCCCGGGCCGGACCCCGAGGCGCGCGCCCCCTCTGGCCCCGGCGCTCTCCCAGAACCCGGGGGCCCCAGATGGTGGCGCTGCACCTGGACTGGACACCGGGACTCCATCTCCTGGAAGTGGGCCTGCGGGGCTCGCGGCTTTTCAGGGACCAGAGCTTCCTCGGGGCAGGGCCGCCCTCCCGCTGGCTGGGGGTGCCCTGCCGGGGCCGCGGGGAAGTCGACACAGCCCGGCCTCCTCCCGCCTCGGACACCGGGCCTGGGGCTCGGGGACGGGGGGGCACCTCCGGCGCCCCCGGCCAGGAACGCGGAGTCCGTGGCCAGTGTTGGCCTCGCCGCCCGCCCCCTCGGCTCCGCGCTTGCTTGGAAATTGTCGTGGGACCCGGGACCTGGGAGACCCGTCGGCGGGGCTGCGCCGGGAGGCGCCCGCGGGAGGGGGAGCGGCCGAGGCCCCGGGAGCCCTGTGCTCATGCCGAGCCTTTCTCCAAAACTGGACCCGTCTGTGCTTTGCAACCTTCCTGGGCGCTGCAGACAAGGGGTGCTCCGCAGTCTCCCCTTGACTTCCAGAGTAAATCACGAGGCTGGTTTGCGGGTTAGGACTGCATGTCTTGTGAATATCCCTGAGCACAGGAACGCAACCTAAACCGATTTATGTTTATTCTTGAAAAAACAAAGCTGCTTCAATGAAATCCAGCTTCGGGGATGGTTTAACCCCCAGCTCGGCCAGAAAAATTCAATTAGAAAGTTTTCTCTCCATGCAAATTGAGAAGCAGGGCTGCGAGGGGCCTCGGGGCGGCTCCAGGGCCGAGCTGGTGTCTGGGCGGCAGCGGCCCTTTCTGTGTTCCAAGATGGATTGCCCCTTTCTAATGTAATAAAGATGTTCTGAGTTGATTGAAGATAATTGCATCATTAAAGCATTTTCTTTGAAGGTCCCTCTCCTGGTAGTTTATCTTCAGCAGGCCACTCAGGGCAGTGTTTGAAGAAGAATTTTAATAAGGATGACAGCCAGCTGCCTCAGCCTGCCCCACATCCGGGAAGGTGGTGTTTGGGTGGGTGCGCTGTGGCCTGGCTGGCGCAGGGAAGGATGGGGCGCTGGGCCGGGCCTGGGTGCCCCCTTCGGCCAGCCTCACCCTCGCACGTGGGTGTCTGAATTAACGCCTGCCCGTCCTGCCGAGACTGAGGCTGGGCCGGCGCTGACCAGGCCCCTCCCTGGCAGGCACCAGCATGGGCCGAGGAGGGAGGGGATGCCGGTGGGGCAGAGGCCGCGCAGTCGGCCGTGAGAGCACACCCAGCGCCCAGCGCCACCTCCAGCCCAGCGACATCTCAGCCCCCACAGGGCGCGGGCCGGAAGCGGCCTGAGATGGGAGGGCGTGGCGGGGTGAGAAGGAACCCCACTTCTATCACGTTGTGGCATTGGGCCCAGAAACCTGTGTCCCATGTGCGAAGGGAGCCTAGACTGTCTCTGGCCCCAGGAGGGACAAAGATGCTTGCAGCACTTGGCCTTGGGGCCCAGGCGTGCGCCGCCCGCTGTGCTACGCGGACAGAGCCTGGGGGCGGCCGGTCCTTGTCGGGGCCGGGAGGTGCTCAGGCCCTGCTCCCCTGTCCCGTCCCAGTGCGCCCCTGAAGAGATGGCAAAGCCCCGAAGACCACCCTGCTCACCCCACACATCGGCAGGTGCTGGCCCCAGTGAGAGTGGCTTCGTTTCCCACGATGACCTGCTGTTGCTCGGAGTCGTGAGGGCACGGAAGGTTGGCAAAGCCCAGATACTTCCCTGCGCCTCCTTCTGGCGCTGCCTTTGCCGGGAGAGCACACGCCCTTCGCTTTTGGAAAGACAGGCTGACTTTCTGGAGGGATGAGAATCTGGGGCTTAAGCCCCAGTTGCTCTCCTCATGTCCTCTAGGTCTTTTTTCTTTCTTTTTCTTTTTTTTTTTTTTTGATATTTTTATTTTATTTTAGAGAGAGGGAGTGGAGGAAGAAAGGCCGGGAGAGAAATGCGGACCTGGCCGTCTGCCTCTGGCAAGCGTCTGGACCTGGGACGGAGCGCGGAGCCCGAGAGCCAGGCTTGGGCCGGGATTCGCACCAGCCACCTCTCAGAGAGCGGGACACTGCTCCAGCGACTGAGCCCCACCGGCCAGAACTATGTCCCCTTATTCTTTTCTTCATGCCCCAAGGGGCTTGGGCCTGAGGCTGACCCCTGGCTGGGCAGTTCAGAGCTGCCCCCCAGCCACCTCTACCCCTGGGGCGATGCCCGGCCCCGCTTGGAGCCCAGGTACCCTGGCCTCTGAAGGCAGAGGCCTGCCCCCACTCCGCCTCCTGCCCCACAGAGCTGGGTGTGCCGTTCCCCGGGGGGCCCGGCGGGAGGGGTCCTACCGCAGAGGCTGGGCGGGGCTCTGGGGCCTGTGTGGGCACGAGGGCAGCAGCGGGCCGGCTGAGGCGCGGGGCATGGCCGAGGGCCCTCGGGGAGAGGGGCTGCCGCGCCACCCAGACGCGGGCCCCAGGGCGCGGGCCGGGGAGAAGAGCAGCAAGCTGCCGGTGTTCGCAGGGCGCTCTTCCGGCACCGCACGTGGGAACCGTTTGTTGTATTTGAGGATTATCAACTTTTCTTGGGGGATGCTTAAAACACAAGTGGGGCAGGCACGCCGGACGGCATCCCGCCAAAGAAAACAGGACGAGGCCAGGCCAGGCCGGCTGTGGAGACAGGCGGCCACGCTGCGCCCGGCCCCGCCTGAGGGGGCGGGAGGCAGGCCGGGCACTGGCCCGCACAGGGCTGGGGGGGAGGTGGGCCGAGAGCCCCCTTCGGGGCAGCCCGAGGCGGGGCGGTGCCGTGGGGCTCCAGAGACCCGCCCCAGGTACCTTGGCACTTGTACCTGCTTTCTACTTTCAGTGACTTCCACTGCGCTTTTTATTGGCTTTTGCCTTCTGCTTAGTTTGGGTTCTGTTTGCACTTCGTCTTCGGGTTCCTTAGTGTGGAAGCCGAGTCACGGACGCTCCGACCTCCCCTCTTTTCCAGTGTGGCGTCCGGTGCCGTGACCCCCCCCCCACGCTGCTCCCATGACGTCCCACGGGTCTAGTGTGTTCACTTTCACTCAGTTCCAAATAGCAATTTCCCTTTCGATCTCTTCTTTGGTTCTGGGTCAAAGTGGGTTTAACCTCCATGTCCTTGAGGATTTTCCAGGAACGTTTCTGTACTGATTTTCAGTTTACTTCGGTCAGAGAACATATTTTGCCTTGCACGAGTCCTTTTATGTTTCCTGAGGCTTGTGTGACGGCCCCAGATATGGACTTTCTTGATCCGTGTTCTGTTGTCTTTGCAAAAATGTAGGTTCTTCCGTGGCTGGGGGGGGCGGTCAGTAAGTGTCAGCTGGTCACGCGGGTTGGCATGCACTCCCACTGCGTCACGGTTGGCCTGCCGCCTGCTTGTTTGATCAGCTATTGAGAGGGTATTGAAATCTTTAGCAGTGACTGTGAGTTCATCCATTCCTCTTTATGGTTCTATCTGTTCTTACTTCATATATTTTGAAGCTGTCTTACTAGGTTCATAAATGGTTAAGAATGTTACATCCTCTTGATAAATTGACTCTTTTATCAACATGCAATAACTTTCATTCCTGTAATTTTTTGGTTTTATAGTCAACTTTATCTAATATCAGAATAGAGACTCCAGCCCTGGCTGGTGTGGCTCAATGCATTGAGCGCCGGCCTGCAGACCAAAGGGTCGCCGGTTTGATTCCCAATCAAGGCACCTGCCTGGGTCGCTGGCCAGGCCTCCAGCAGGGGGTGCACGAGAGGCAACCACATGTGGATGCTCCTCTCTCTCTCCCTCCCTTCCCCTCTCTCTAAAAGTAAATAAATAAACCTTTAAAAAAAGGATAGAGACTTCAGCTTCCTTTTGAGCATATTGGTATGGTGTACCTTTTCCATGTCTTTAAACATAGTTGTGTCTTTTTAGATTTTTTTAATTTTATTTTTTAGAGAGATAAGAGGGGAACGGAGGGAGGAGAGGGAGAGAAATAGTGATGTTTCTCTTGCATTGACTGGTTGCCTCTCGCACGCCCCCAACCGGGGACCTGGCCCGCAACCCAGGCCTGGGCCCTGACCGGAATAAACTGGGGACCTTTCAGTTCGCAGGCTGGCGCTCAGTCCACTGAGCCACGCCAGCAGGGACGTGTCCTTAAGGAGGGCTCCCTGTCTGCTGCAGGCGGTCGGGCCTGGCTCCTTGCTCCTCGACCCACCCTGGCAACCTCTTCCTTTGCACTTGGTGTGCCTGTTGGTGCGGCTGGGTTTAGCTCCAGGACCTTACTAATTACTTCATAAATCCCCAGCTGTTGTTTGTTAGGCTCTTCTTTCTTTCTGATCGATGGGATTTTTTTTTACCATTTCAACATATCTCCTCTGTTAACTCATTTATATGCTTTTACTGGCCTTGTCGTGGGTGCCTTGGGTTGACAGTGCGCCTCTTCCAAGTCCCGCCACGTGCCTGCCGGGGACGCCATCGCTGTGTGTAGACGCAGGAGCGCGCAGTG